GCTAGATCGAGAGCTGTCAACGGTGGATCTAGCCTTACCAATCTGCCCACTCGGCCGTCGGGAGCATCAGTTTTCTCAAGCTTCAGATACCCGTTGCACCGGCCTTCTAGGTCGCATCCCAGCATCACAAGCCGAGTCACAATCTCAATGTGGTCATTGGCCACAGCTAGATGTATCGGCTGGAAGAAAGCGTATTCGCCGCTTGACCACCGATTGAAGTCCGCTGGTCCTGACCCGTCACTCTTTAGGAGCTCGTAAGTGCAGCCGATAGATCCATAAAGACATGCGAAGTGCAAGGGGGTCAACCCGAGTGCATGGGTGACGTTGTCCGCTTTCGCCCCCAACTTGAGAAGCGCGTTGGCAGCTGATGGCTGGTCGGCCATGACGGCGGCGTGTAACGGGCTGCGACCGTAGTCGTCGCCGACGTCTATCGAGGCACCCAGGTCGGCGAGGCCGCGGATAACTTCCTTGCTGCCACCGCACGCGGCGTGAAAGAGCACAGATCGTCCGGCATTGTCTCTGGCGTCAATGTGCTTGGTAGTGCCCATCATTTTGGTCAATGCATCTACCGCTTGCATGTTGCCGGTGGCTGCTGCCCGATGGAGTGGAAGTTCACCCAGGTCGTTGATGTGTGGGAACGAGTGCGAACCGAGGAAGTCCTCCTTGATCAGATCGATGATCTTCCGTATTCTGTGATTTGCCAGTCCGGCAGGCGCATAAGCGGAGAAGAGATGAAGAATAGTCTCGAGTCTTGTGGTTGTGAACTTGTGTAGAATGTCGGGATCCGTTCCAGAGTAAAACTCAATCTCGTCATCCGCTTGCAAGGCCTCTGTTGTGATCCCTTGTAAGATATCAGGTCTCTTCTTGAGATTTGACTCTCTCTCTTCCTCTAACAGATACGCAGCAAGGTTGAAATGCCCGTTAAGTACCGCGAGATGGATAGCCATAAAACCACTTCGGGTTTGGCTTGTGGTATCCACACGTAGCTTCATCAATGTCTTGAGCATCGACAGTGAACCAAGAGTTGCGGCCCAGTGGATAGCTCTAAAATTGTCAAACTCTTCTGTCTGTAGCTCAAGGATATCTCTTCCTTGTTTTACAAGAGACTGGACCTCCCTATCATTTCGCGCCCGAACAGCCCGAATCAAATTCGCGTACGGCTTACTTTGCTCAATCTTGACAGCGTGAAGCTCATTTCCGAATCGAATAGCGATGTTAACTTCCATCTTTGTTCTCACTCCTCCCTGTATGGAAAGTGTTGGAGAAAGCATAAGGGTAAACCTGTCTTGGTAGCAACAACAGCGTGTGACGGCGCCAACCTCGTCAAACATTACCACAGGTTCTGTCGGCTGTATTATCCTTCCAGTTGTACTTGGTAGAGTACCCTCATCACTTGGAGCAAAGAGAAGTTCAGAGGTACCAGAAACCTCCAGCTGGATGAAACGTCGGCCTCTTCTTTGGGACTCTTTGGCGTCGATGGTGATGAATCCTAAGCCTTTGGAGTTTTGATACGCTGCACCGCCTTCCGAAGCAGTGGCAATTTTCGGAAACTCTAGATAGACAGACTCGAGGCTGTTGTCAGTGTAAGGGTGCTTCTCATAACAGACTTCCCACCGTCTCCGGACTCGACGGAGTCCAATGGCAACGTCTACAACTGATCGTTGACTCTGCTCAAGCGACATGAAACGCAAAACGACCATTGAGCGATTTGACTGAGGTTCTTTGGTCCGAATTACGGACAGAGTGGTATCCCACCTTTCCGGGGGATATGCTTCGTGAATAGTGAAGGCCAAGTGTGAAACAGAATCCTTCGAGCTGGGTCGAAGCCTTGTCCGGACACTCAGTTCAGGAAGAGCGTAGAACGGATTCTCCTTGACGTAGATGTTCTCGTACGTTCCCTCGGTGTCATCGAAGTGGTCTAGAGGGAACAGAATTACAGAGCCCTCTTCAGAAGCAACCCTTGCAAACTGGTCACTCCAAAGACGTTGAAGAATGATGCAAGGGCTCAATTCCTCGGTGAAAAATCCAGGTTTAGAGGCAATGCAGTCCAAAAGAGCGTAGTACTCATCGCCATCTGTCTGTCGTGGGATGAGAAGGATGTTTGTTCTGAGCCCTTGATTAGTGACACTGGTTGGCGCGCTATCTTGGGATTCCGATGGGGGCAGAGGTCGAACATGGTCAAAATCCACCATTGAAAACGAGCTTGGCGAACGCGCAAGCAAGCCAAATAGGTCGTCCGAGTCGGGCTGGATGTCTGCCGGCATTCCCCAGAGGAACAAGGACTGATCATCACTCTCTTTGAGGATCTCTTCTTGCAGACGGGTGAAAGCTCGGTCACCTTCGCCGTAGAGCAGGGGCATGTTCACCTTGAACAGTCCTATCAAGCAGTATGCTTTGTCTTCCGGGCGCGTCGTCTGCCGATGTCCAGCCCATCGCATCTTATTTGCGACGCTGGTGTCGCTTAAGAAAGATGTACCAGAGAGCACCTGCTCGTTAATGCCGGTAATCCTGGCAAGCAACTGGCAGAAAACATTTCTCGACTGCTTCGTGTCGATGTAAGACCAGTCCCCAGCATAAAACTCAACAGTCTTCGGCGCGATGAGTTCCTGCAGCGTCCATCCTCGAGTAAACCATCGGCTATTCTGAAAACTAGAACCCTTGGCAAACGGGCTCTGCACGGAAACAGGGTCCACGTCAGAGAGGAAAGCGTAACAGATGGCGGCCTTCTCGTACCAACGGTACATGGAGTTGATGGATTCCGACAACTCGGCGCTGCTAGTCTTGTCTATGCAGCACGTATCGGCCCAGAGGAAGCGGTGGCGATGGCTCTTGGCCAAATTTGCTGCATCTCGTATCTTGCGGAAGCCGTTGGTGGAGCGGATTTGGTCGGCCGCATCCGCGGAGCCCGACCCCGGACCGGGTGCCGTGTCCGAGGCCAAACCGAGGGCTTGGAAGCTTTGAAATGTGACTTCGTCGCTGCCCCAGGTGTGAGACAATATCGCATACTCCTCCTGGGGGTCGCCCTGCACCTCGACGAGTTTGAGGCTATCTGTGTCAATAAGCCACATCTTAAGTCGGCTGCGTGGTGGAGGCGCGCGTCTGGGAAGATGTAGTTGGATGCCAAGGTCGGGGGCGGCGATCGTCAGCTGAGCTCAAGTCCTTCGAAAAGAAATGATTTGTTATCTTGGAAGGGAACATGATTGGTTCGGTTCCAGGCAGCTAAGCCGGATCTTCAGTCCAGCACTAAGAGTTGAGAGCATCTTATGTGCATCATTTCATCAACAGCAGCGAAATAATTGGAAGATACTAAAGATGCTTTGTCTCCATCGCAAAAGGCTATCAGAGTCGTTGCTCAATACTCCTGTGCTCTTTGGAGTGTCATTAAAAGCGGTTGACAGTCCATCGACTAAATTGCTAGCGGCAGGAGTGCAAAAGTTTAGTAAGGTTAAAAGATGAGTGTCCACAAGAGCCCAATCTTGAAATGGGGGGAGACTCTTCAACCAGCAGCGATCAGTATTGAGCTTAAGAGGTGCTCTATAAGACTAGGTAAAACGCGCTAGCAAGCGAATGCTATTATTTGACGTGGGATACCGAAGCGACTTCGTGGGCCTTAACATCTGAATTTATGATGTGAAATTCAGTTTCGCCGTCCATGGAAGAGTGTCGGATCTGAAGATCATATCCCCTGAAGAGAAGACGAGCAACCAATCGCGATATTTTTTTTGGCTGCATATCCCCCGCCGGGTGGTTTGATCTTCAAGGAGGTTCAAATACTCCCCCCGACGAATCGAATTGGCGATGGTTTCCAAGCGTGGGATTTTGAGGAGTTCATCCTCCCTGGCATCCCCACCAAATACACCAGAGACCCTGGCCAAGGAGAACAGGGGGTTCATCCGAGGAGCTCGCAGGGTCGCTTCATTCCCATGTTTTGAAACTTCGTTCGATCTTCGAAACCGGTCATGCCCAAGTGGCACAGGTGCTCAGCCATCTTTCAGGCCTTCCAAGGCGGTCATCGCATCATCTCAGGCCACACGATGCAGCGCTCTTGTCAACTCAACTATAAGATGGCACCTGTCGCGTCGCTGTCAGCTCTTGTCACTGGGTTTCAACTCATCAACAACGAAACTGCCATCCGAAACAGCAACTCTTCTTCTTTAGACCTGGTGTCATCTTTATTTAAGCTTATTCAAAGTACTCTGTGTTCATTTGTCTTTCACGTTTTCTGTCAAGATACCCATTTGATTCATCCCAACCCATTCAAAATGTACGCCCAACAAGTTCTCGTCACTTTCTTGATGGCCACCAGCGCCACTCTCACTAGCGCGAGTGAGTAATACCATCTTCCAAAACCTACAGCCATCCAGGCCTTTTCTAATCAGATTGCCGCCTTTAGGAAGCATTGAAAGACGTCAGCTTCTCGGAAACCTCGGCAGCCTCTCATGCAACGTCGCACGACTCCAAATCCTAGGCGCCCTCGGCAACACCGAAGACGCCGTCTCCCAAATCACCGACACAACAGTTCAAGACGCTGCCAACGCTGGCCTCCAACAAGCACGAGGCGGCATCTCGCAAATTGCAAAATCCATTGTCAGTGGCGATGCACCACCCGCGGCCAGCCGTGACGAGGTTGCGGCTGGTCTGGCTGCGGCTGGCACCGCTCTTTCTGGTGGTGATGCGTAAGTGCCTGTTCCTAGTTGTATGCAAGTTTAGAATTGCGATGGCTAACACTACATGTAGGAGCGACCAAGCTGTCGCTGATGCGCAAGCGGGACTTGACAAGTCTGTCAAGGCTGGTCAGGATGTCGTTGCCAACTGCTGAAGATTTGGTCACAGCATACGATCAAAAAGGAGGCATGAGAAGACAATAGCAGGACTAGTACATGCATTAATACCAGCATATTCAATTTCCAAAACCCAGTCCTTAAGCCCAAACATGTCCTCTTCTCTTGTGAACCCCACAACTCTGTGCACTCCCTGCTCGGGTTTCTTTCACGTACAACTTACCTCGTCTTTCCAATCAGTTCTCTCGCCTGTTGCAGGTCCTTCGCCATAGCACCCAAGTGAACCACGTCAGCCGAAATCATCACCAGACTCATTCGCTCCGCAGCCTTCTTCAATACTTCGGGACTCCCATAAGGAGGACCGCCGAATGCAAATCCAGCATAGGGTTTATCGTGCTCATCGATAGTATCAAAGAACAGCTTTGACACTTTGACCCATTCAGGCTCCGAAGCACCTATTCCTCCCATCTTGGCCTCGAGGTTCATACTGACTCGGGCATCAAGGGTGCCAAACCACACGATATCGATATCCGAGCCACACGCGATTAGAATCTCGTCGAGGTTCTTGACGGCTTGTTCTGATTCGATCTGGATCATGATGGCGGCCTGATCGTTGAGACACTTATGCAAATCGCGTTGGTCGTATGGTGTATCGGTGAGACCAGGTACAAGACGGAAGGGCGGAAGCGATCGCGTGCCGTTCTGCGCAATGCCGAACTTCGCGGCGGAGATAGCATGTTTTGCTTGCCCAACCGTTTCGACTTGGGGAATGACGATACTAGCGCCAGCATCCAGAGCATACCCAATGGTAGCATGATCATGGCCGGGGAGGCTGCCAAGTCATGATCAGTGAGAGCACAGAGCCCCAGGAAATCTCTGAGAGACATACCGAACAAATGGAATGGTGCGTCCTTGGCTCATAAAAGAAGCCTCGTGAACCATCTAAGCGACGTCAGAACAATCTTCCAGCTGCTGGAGGGCTGCCACTCAAACAAACCGTCGTCATGGTTTCCGTATTGCATGGAGTATGCTCCCAATCGATCCACACGGCGTCGAAACCCATGGGAGCCAAGTACCGGGTAATAGGAATGGAGCTCAACCCTGCATAGTAACAGAGGAGTGGCGGGATCTTCTTTGCGTGAGCGTCTCGAATTGCTTGACGCGCCTTATGAGGCTGGAAAAGCGAAGGCGCAGCGTATGCCGCCATGCCTTGGGAAGAGGCAGTCTTGTATTCTTCACCAGGGTTTGCCATGTTGAAGATGCTACCTGTCTCTCAAAGTAACAATGAAAATCAAGTAGCTGCTGATTAGAATCAAACAGGAAAAAAATGCCATGGTGAATTCTTCTTATAACCTATTTCAATGAACATCCTTCTTCAAGGTCTCACGCCCTTCGAACCTCCAACATCAGTGCGCAACCCGGTTTACGTGATATCGTCAAGACAGCTTCCGGTCTTTTGGACCGGACTACAAGCTGGTGCAATCCCGGGCCTAGAATCTCAGTCGATGCGGATTCCGTTCTTGGAGATGTCCGACGAGACGAAGTAAGAACTTGATGTCAATCGTTGATATGTGGGAAACTCCCTACGCATCATGTTAGCGCACCACACGATAAGGTGGCCCCTAAACGCACCGGTAATAAACCCTAACACAAAAGAACCTAAGTGGTAGGATGATCGACTTCACAGATCGACCGTTAAACAACTAAGTACCTTACCGTGTACTTCTAGATGGGCCGAGGCACCTCGGCAACCTGCTCAAAGAGAGTATCTTGCTAAATCTGCACATAAACGCACCTCGCTGTTGCTGTTCTCAGATTCTTTAGATGTTGTTTCGAAAGATTCGCGAGGTCCTAGCGCCGTGGAAGGCCATTTGGATCAAGCTAGTGCGGCTTTTGAGACATTGTGGTGGCTTGAGATGCTAGACTAAAGTCTGACAGGCGCCGGGAACTTTTATGTCATAAAGCCGCTGCCGAAGGAGTAGGAGGGACTTCCAAGGTCCCCCTTTGTTGTCATCTGACTTAAGCTGTCACTCAAAAAACCTCAAGTCCATGTTTGCCAGTCTCATTTTCATGCAACTTTCAAATCATCGGTGAGGCGGCCACAATTACATCATTTCGTGAACTAGAGGGCCATTAAACCTTCGTTACCATATCTTCTGCTCAATCAAACATCGACGCCGTACCCATGTCTCCCGGACCACAGCCGAGTGAAACGGCAAGAGACCGTGTTTCGCGGTCTACTTCTCCCGATGAGGAACTTCAGGTAAGCTCCGTAGTCTCCAAGTTTGAGGTTTTTTACGTCACCTATGCCTCCGATTAACGCAGCACCTCAGATCCGCCGAGAACGTAACCGCGAAGCGCAAAAGGTTTTCCGCAAGCGCAAGCAGGCGGCAGAAGAGATCCAGGCACACCGCCTGCAGCACCTGGAAACCACGGTCGCCAAGATGAGCTCCGCTGTGGTTGAGTTGGTCGACTGGATGCTGGACATTGAAGCGCTTAAGCAGGAAATTGGGGTCTTGACGCGCATCCAAGAGATGGTGGCGCATGTGTTGGCACTTGCAGACGATGCTGTGGCGTTGGAGGATGAGCTTCCAAAGAGGAGGAAGAGGAAGCTCAGAGAAACGAAACTTACATCGATACCTAGTCCCTCTCTGGAAAGCGATACTGCTCCGGGTATGCAAGATAAGGATGCCGGTGCTGAAGACGACACATCCCACGTGGCGTCGTGTCCGCAGGCAAATACTCCAGCACTAGAGTCCCCAACCCTCACACCAGACGCCCAAATCCTCTCCCACCTAACATCCCTAGCCTGCCGCCCAGCCTCACTACCCCCAACCCTCGGAACCTTCCATTGCGGCTCAATGACCTCCCTCAGCCCAGACTCATTCAGTTTCCGCCTCACACACACGTGCTTCACCATAGGCTACCTCGTCCTCAGCAAGTCCCTCGAATCACCCCTCCCCCACGGAGAAGAACCTCGCATCTTCAGCTCAACACTCAAATACCGTGAACGGGACGATTTGATTACCAAAATGAGGTGGCTCGTCGGACCAGGGCAGCACGAACTCCAGCAAGCTGCTGAGCTCCCCATGGGTGGACGGTGGTACGGCGACGAATTCAGTTCCGAGGACCTGTCGCCGGAGAACTTTGACCTTTTTGAGAAGACAGCGCTGGCAGATGCTCGACAGACGCGGTTTCTTAGTGTTGCTGGTGTTGAGAGGCAGCTTATTACTTTGGGTGCTCGTGTTGTGGATAAGGAGACGTTGGAGCTGACGTTGAGTGGGCCGTTAAAGCTAGCATCGGGTAAGAAACGGTCTTTGTCGTTGGAGAGCTGGAGTTTTGTGGATTGTTTCCCGCCAAGATTACAGAGGCGGTCAAAGCAGGCGTTTACGGTGCAGTTGAATATCACGCTGCTGATTGCGAACTTGTCGAGATGTGCGGTGTGTCTTATGAAAGGACCGGGTTTTCCGAGGGACAAGCTGAAGAGAGCGATCGAGGATTCTGTGGTCATGGTCAACAATGGTTGACTTAGAATTCTGTCATACTAGTTAGTTAGTTGTCTCTGGCCTTTCGCGTAGTTGGCGCGGAAATCCTGCACTGGGAGGCGCGTTGGAAAACAGACCGGATTGTAACTCAAAGACACCTTCAGCTCTTGTGTGGTTGATCGGTTGGAGTCGTCACTGGCAGCATGAGAGCAAACGTCTCGTGAATCCCAAAGTCTTATTTCTGGCTAGAGTACATATCCTGGATCACATATCCAGGATACCACAACTCGCCGTGCCCGGTCTCTATTTTCGGAACCAGGCATTCCAGAACCAGTCCATCCTTACTGATCTTGTATACCATGTGCCATCTGAAAGTATCCGCGGAGAGATGTGTCTGAGGCCCCAATGCTTGGTGAACGCTAGCCCATACATTCCGACTCATTCATCGGTTCCCCATCATTGTCGGCCGTCTACTCCTCAATATCGTCCCCTTCCTCTCCATCTGTACGTTCGCCTTCAATCTCGGAGCCGTCATTGTCTGCCATCTTTGCCTCCTCTTCCGTAGCCAGCTGCGCGGCGGCGGCTGCCTTGACTGCAGCATTGCTTCTCTTCTTCTCGTTGAACTTATCGATGGTTGCAAGGGTCTTGTCTGCAGCTGCTCTGGCAGCAGCGCCGGTTCGATTGGCGTACGGAAGCTGGAATGCAGCATTGGAAACTGCCTTGATGCCCATTTGAAGAGACTTGGCCTCGACCAGAATTCCGTCGCGAATCTCCCTGTCAACCTTGCTTGTGGTTTGTAAGTCGTTCACAGAGTCTATGAACGTCATGACCATGTGCTGCAAGGTTACATGGCGGCTTGTGAGGAGGTTGAAGGCCGCCTTGGAGATGTAGCAGTTATCATCATCTGCCAGTGTCTCTTTTCCAGGCACATGGGTGGACGGCTCGAGTTTATGGGCAAGCTGGGTGCCGAGGTCGGGACTGGCGTTGTCTCTTATCAACTGCTCAGGGATCTCGTAAGCCTGGTCAGCGGTCGAGTTTCCTGCCTGTGATGTGCTAGCCATAGGCTTGTCTTCCGAGTTGGCGACATCTGCCTCGACGGTGTCACCAGCCTCGACGGTTACAAGCAGTTCTTCGTCTCCGCTATTCTTTGCAGGAGACTTCGGGGGCTCCTCAACGTCTGGTTTGGTAGGCTTTCGTTCATTATTGATGGTCGAGCGCTTCATAAAGCTATGACTAGGCCTACGAGCCAGAGAATATGTTGCGAGTGGGTACGGTATCATGGGCTTGGGGCTGTCTCTCTTCTGGCGCTTGCTGCTCGAGGGGCGGAACTTGATTTTGGACTTCTTGAAAGACTTTGGAGACTCTGGAGTTTCATCTCCACGCTTTGATATCTTTCTCTTCTTTCTCTCCACGGAAGGAGAGAGCTCGATGGCAGCTCTCGAGCTGGGTTTATGAGACGGCCGTACAATCGCGGCTTCGTCTTCAGGAGAGGAGAAAATCGGGATAACTGAATCTTTCGCCATGTTGGGCCAATCTTGTGGTGTCTCAATGTCTGAATGCGAGGAGAGGGTCAAGCTATGCGAGTTGGAGTAAGATTCTACTGGAAAGTAAAGCTCGCGCCGCGTGAAGATGCCCAGGCATTGGGGAACTTGTGCCTCTCGGAGAGTAGTGAAAGCTGGGGCTGTGAGAAGTTGTATTATTAGAGAGTAATGTCGACACCGAGTATAGGAAATTGAGGAAAGTTTGATACCTATTTCGCGATCTGATAAGGAGCTCCTGGAGCCGTAATCGTGTCAAGCGTCGAAGGAAAAGAGCAAGGCGGCTGATGAGAAGGGAAAGAATGGAGGCCGTTGATAAGAATGGCGCCGTAAGAGGGCCTCGGCCAGGACTCAAAAGGATTTCCGCAATAGTCTCCGGCTCTGAATGAATAAGTAGGGCAATCTGAATTGGTTGAAAGGTTGAGGATGAGAGTGAAGGTGAGTTGTAGACGGGTCATGTGACCTTCAAACGTGAGATATACAAGGAAGGGCCGGGCCTCTACTTCGTCCCTTCAGGTGGAAGGTGAAGACGCCCACCGTGGGAGGTGCGCTATTTCCCCTGTTATGCCTACCGTCTGTGACTGCCTGAAGAAGTAGGACTGAATCGCGAAGGCCTCACGAACATGGCAATTTCACACCTCCATTTCGGCGATGAGGCGAAAGATTAGCAGTCACTCAAAGGCATCTGGACGTTAGCAACTGCTGGCAGATTTTGTAATCTAGAAAGTGGAAGCTCTTTGTATCAAGCAAATAGACAACACCGGCTCCGGGTCTCATGAATGAAATTTGATGATACCTGTTCAACGAGCCGTAGAATCGTAGGCTAATGCAAGAGAAAGCTATTGATTAGGCGATGCTGGTAATCCATACCCTGTCGTATGTCTCGATCACTCGCTCGCTCATACCCGAGATACCTCCTGACCATTCCTCCTCAGTACTAAAAAGCCGGATCTTTGCTCCTCTCAAACGCCGCCGCCGTATCGTGAATCTCCTCCAAGCTCATGTCGATGATGCGGGCCTGAATGGACTCTCTGTCCAGCGAGTCCACCGTATCCTTCATCCAGCTAGCGGAGAGTTGCTGCGCCGCCTGAATTCGTGCCATGTGAAGTTTGAAGGCTGTCTTGGAGATCGTCATCTGGTCGTTCTCCTCCGCCTCCTTATCTTTCTCACGCTGGTTCTTCCGGTGAGCTTGCTCCTTGAGACGGCGGAATGCAAGGGCTCGGGCGACAGTCTTAACGGCATCGGTGCGCTTCTCGGGAGCGATATTGTTGACGATGTAGGACGCGACTTCCTTGGTAGTGTCTTGCAGCTGCTTGCGGTGCCCTACTTCATGCTGCTCCTGTGGCGCGGAGAAGTAGAAGTGACGGCAGGAGATGGTTCGGCGCGGGGCATGAGGTTGTTGGCTGTCAATATCCATGGGAAGGGTCGAAGCTGCGCCCATATCGGAGACAGCTCTCAAAGCTGCCATTGTTCCCTCGGTCTCATCGTCGGACAAGGACATAGGCGAGGATCCGGCGGAAGGGAGGCGGGCTTCTTCGGCAATTGTTCTTGCTTTGTAGGCCTGGGATATTGATATGGCTTTGACTGTTGGGAATACTTCGATTGAGAGAGATTGCTTCCTTTGTTTTGTGTTAGCTAGAACATTTGTAGAGAGAAAGAGGCATCGGCCTACTGACTCTGCCTTCCCCAATGCTGAACACCATCATTTTATGAGGCGGGAGACATGGTGGAGATGTTATGAAAGGAGCATATGACATGTGAACCTTCCCACTCAGTTACCAGAGGTTGCGAGAGGATAACTCTTGCCCATCAAAGATAGGATCACGAGAGGGAATTTGAGCAGCGTTCGGGTTTGAGGTAGTCAGTCCTAACTGAAATCATTGCTTTGGTATCTTGTAGTCTTTTTCTTCTCAAGCACTGGATGCACGAGGTCACTCCAAGTCCATCTCATCTCCAGTCTCCTTTTCAATGGCCTCATCTTTCACCTGCTGATCTCCAGCGGTCTGGTCTCTATCGGCCTGGTCTCCATCGACCTGAGCTCCCAAAGCCGCCTCTGCGGCCAGCTTTCTCTCCTGACGGAGTTCGCCCGGGGTCGGAATCCCATGGTGCTTCTTTTTGTGCTATCTCATTCATGTCAGCTCTTAAGATTCACTCTCATAACGACTGGGGCTCCAATGAAATTACCCGGTCAAGCGAACACTTGGAAGTATAGTGCGGGGGCTGGTCACAGAGCTCACACCCATATCGGTCCTTACCGCGCTTCCCGTCGTACCGTCTTCTAGGAGGCGCCGCGGCCTTTACAGCACCTGCTGGCATGACAGGAGGAGCTGACACTGCAACAGCCTGAGCGACGACTGCACCAGATCCGGTAGAAATACTATGCTAGACTGTGACTCATAGGCAACGTTATCATTGACATTGGCGTTGCTGTTGCCATTGGCGATGCTATCGCTACTAACGTTGCTATCGGCGTTCTCATTGCTGTTCCTGGTACCGTTGCTGGGAAACGGCGTCTTGTTCCGTCCAAGTCGAGCGGCAATGCGTTCCCAAGAACTGGTTACTCGGGTGATGAGCGGCGGAATTTCGATGTTGTCCGCAGCCTGCTCTCTCAATATAGCAAGAATGAAAAGGCGCTCTAGCAGTCTGGTCGCGCGCGGGATCTCGAAGTTGCTATCATCAAAGCGCCGGCGGATGCTGGACAGAGCATTAGCTCCACTGCTTAGAACAGCCTCTTGGCTTGCGCCCGAAGCCTGCTCATTCTCAATGGCGAGCTTAAGACTATACTCAAACTCATATGACATCGTTCTGTATTCTGCAGTCAGCTGGGATGAAGTTCGTCAGCATGAAAATATTGTGCAAGGATGGAGAAATATACGCGTTGGTTTTATGGTTTCGTTGTTGTATAAATTAAACCGAAAGCTCGAAAATAATGACTCCGGTGAAGGTGGAAGAAGTGGAAAATGTGAGGTGACTTCTGGGCCCGAGACGTACGGATTCCATAGGTGAGATGGATATTTCGCCTCCCTTCAGCTTGAAAGTGTGAAGGGAAGGAGCTACTGGTGAATAATCATTCTTGTGGTATAAGCTAAGAGACCAGTGATTATTCACATAACTTGAGACTAATGTGATAGCGGCCACGGGGTTTGGACTTTGGGGACGACAACGCCTTTTAGCCACAAACTCAGGCTAGTATCAGGTAATAGAGGCGGCAGAATCAAGAACGGCAGCTTAGCTGGATAAAATTTCCCCTGCGTCGATAGCAGTACCCAGGTAAGCATAGGCCGTGGTTGCCAATGTTGTTGTCGTTGTCGGAACTGTGGGCCCCCAGAGTGCATGCCGGTAAGGTCGAAGCTGTTGTGGTCGAGTCTTATTCTGTGGAGACACTCCTCGACTGAGATATTTTCGTCTCTGTCTTCGGCGATGACATGGCGTTAAGTCCGCTTCAACATAATCTTTATCATACTCACCGTCGATGATGTTGTCAGGGTACCCGCCGACGTCCGATTCGGCAGCAGGAAACGCAGTTGTGAGACTGAACAAAACAATAACGGATGGATCGGGTCTACTGGTGGTCATGGTGCTTTGGGGAGATGGAAGGACGCACTCGCCGGGGATCAGGCGTCCGCGGATGCTGAGATAGACTTGTGTGGCCGAGGCAACCAGAGTGTTGGTATCGACGCCGGAATTGACCCGTTCGCCGAGGATAGAAAAGGCGAAGATTCCCTCGAAGATGTCAGCTTCATCGCTGGGAAGGCTCGTATTACCCTCGAGGATACGAGAGCTAACCCTCCAGAATGCCAAGTCTGTCTTGTAGATGAGGTCTTTAGTGGTCGAGGTGTCTGGGCTATGCTCTCCCAAGATTGCAAGAGCGAAAGCGTTCTCGATAGCGAAAGTCATGACTGAGTTTTTGAGTGTTATGTGATGGTTCGATGAAGAATGTACTACATGTTAACTGAGTTATATCATACTTCTGAGGTTAAGTCTTATCTTTATAAGTTATTCCCAGAGCTGGAGGCCGAAGAATTGCACCATCGTCGATATTTGGCGAGAACAAGAGAAAACAATGTTTTTTTGTAAAAATGAACTGAGACTGAGAAGAAACGATGGCGTTCTAAGGATTTCTTTGTATCGTCAAGTTCTGAATAATTCTTGTTACAGGGACAGAATATAGTAAGGAAAGTAGGACAAAGCAGTTAGTCTCAATACGAGACCTCTTTCATGAGGCAGCACTGAGCTTTTGTGTCAATCTTGCTGCCCAAGGGTAACTGGAAGAAGGCATCTTATTCAACCCCGCCTTTCTCCCATGGAGTAGTCCTGAACCTTTTCCAACCACTTACTAGAGCAGTTTCGTCGGTCAGGTAGTGGTGTGAATGTAGACTCATGCACTTCCTATCACAACTTGATCGCCACTCCCCGACCAACATTGATACATGTATCCGTGAGTGCTTATATGAAGCTAAGGCCAATTGAGAGCCTGAGATCAAGGGTTGGTCTGACTAAATGATCAAGTTTAGGCCCGACAGAACGAGATAAACAATTCAATGCTTGGAGATGAAACAGAGCCAGAAGCAAACTTGCACATAAGGATTCGGCTTTGCCAAGGCGTTGAGTGGTGTGCTCGGTGGCTGAACGTAGAGGTGCACCACTGTAAATGCAATCCATGTGCCAGTTTTTCTTGTCCTGAAAAGTAGTGTGTCTTCTCATAGCCAGACTAGACACAAAGATCGTCAACCTCAACCCCTAACGCCTGACTTTACCCCAGCGATGATCATTCGCTTTCACTCTATCTGCGCGCTAATGTGGACCCGAGCATGCGTAGATCAGCGAGATGCAATCTATCCCAGTCTACTATAATATGACTAGTGTGGCGTACCGCGAGTACGACGAGTCGATTAATAATTGATCTGGAACTGCCAATGCAAGTGACTAAGTAGTGTATCTCTCAACTGATCTGTGAAGTGTGTGTATGAGGTAGAGAGGTTCTATGTAATACATTGGAAGGAAGGGAAGCTCATGATGGGCAGCTGGATGAACCTCTTGCTGACCATTCTCACATGACAAATAGGCCTCCTTTGATAAGGTCTAGACGGTAAGCCACACCACTCCCTTGAAGCAATGGCCATCTCAGTGGGAGATCCAGCTCTCGGACCTGACTTCGATGAGCAAACCACATCAGGCATTGGCTGAATAGAAGGTCATGAAACATCCAAATTCAAGAGCCCATGATGGAATTATGAGACACAGAGTCAAAAATAGATGCATAGACATATTTCTCGAACTACTTGAGTAATATGATAAGAATAATTCGTGAAACTGCCACCGCAAAACATATTACAGCGTCCACGAAACTGCACCTTTATCGAGCTAGCTAGAAACCATGATGAAGCATTGCGCATCAAGATCGGGTGAAAGTCATCAAGTCAAAAAAATCAAAAGCTAAAGAACTTACTCCTCCATGTCTGCATCCTCATCATCCTGAGTGGCGGCTCCCGGGGGACCGGCCGGCTGTATCTGAGAGGTAGAAGAAGAGGAACTAGCCTGCGCCTCTCCACTGCCTGAAGCGATAGGGTTGGCAGGATTTCTGGGTCGTTGGAGTCTCTTGGGTTTTGCTGGCATACCGTGCACAGTCACCATGTGCTATTGGAATCACAGGTCAGCATTTGATCAGAAAAAAAATAGTAAAGGAATAGTTACTTAAACTTACCTCAATGACGGTGTAACGGCGGGTGTACGAAGAATCGCAGCCGATATACTCGCAGGGCCACAGGTTATCTCTTTTGTCGCCCTTCTTCCTCGGCATTAACGTGAACGGGTTCATGACAGGCTCAGGCGGGGGACGATGAACAGCCGGGATAGGGGCATGAGGGTCAGTAGCGTAAACAGTGGGCTGGACAACTGCAGAGGGCGGTGGAGCTGCGCCGAGCTGGGGGGTTTCAAAGGGTTGAGGAGTTGCACTGAGGCGAATAGGCATATCAACCTGGTTTCCTGGTTGGGCTGGGCCAGGGTTGTTGTTGCTGTTCACTCCATGACTGCGTGAGGAATGGCCGGGGACATCGGTGAGGTTGATATACTCCGGACTAGGCGGGCCATAGATGTCGTCTAGGCCATAGTCTTCGAGGTAAGGCTGAATGTCACCATTTTGGGCGGCTTGCTGACGGAGAATGTTGAGAGCTTCGAACATTTGATCAAAGATGTCGTCGTGTGATAGGCCAGCGGCCACGCGCATGCCACGGATGCCAGCGGCAAGATAATGGCGGATAGAGAAAGACATGTTGAAGACAGGTGATAAGTATTTCAAAGAGGGGATTAGACGCAAACTGTGACCCGGGAATGAGCTCTTGTCTAATCAAAGATGCAACGGCGATGGAATTGAGTGTGGCTTCAACAGCTGCAGGACAGATTGAGTATGGCTAGGATCAATGAAAGTTTAAGTTGAGTGTGCCTGCCAGACGCAAGTTCGTTGATTGTTATTTGTGAGACTGACAAGGCGTATCTTTTTGGAGAAATGCTCGTCGAAAATGCCATGTAGAATGAACGCTTCAATGAATGCTTGTTGAGATGGAGAAGCGAAGACTAGAGCGTGAAGTCTAAATTGATCTCGTGGTAAACATCGAGACACTTAACAATATCTTGACTGAGTGTAGTATGAAAAGGTTCGACGTTGACAACATTCAGCTTCGGCAAGAGTGAATCGAAACAATAAATTGGTTTTTCTTTCAGAAAAAAGAGTAGTCTTTCAACCTGACTCGGATCATCTAAATTTGGAAGAAAGGGAAACTAAACACAGCGGGATGGTCATCTTCTGGACAACTTGTTTCCACTTTTCGAGAACCGAACAACGATGGTCCTTTTGAGCACCCAAGAAACATGATCTGGCTCATAGTCTTTGAAGGGTGCATGGTGTCGCTGACCTGCAAGTAGACTTCGAGGTTAAAAAATGGTGATGTTGATAATTGTTGTTATCATGATCGCAGGTGATGGTGGGGTAAGCCCTTTTGTTTGGATGAGCAGTCTCGCTGACAATTGGCACCGCGTTGAATCTCTTTCCAGCGCCGGGGCCGCCATCGCCACTGCGTGCGGATAGGTATCATGGCACAGAGTGAGATGTGTATGGAGAAGGAAGTGAGCTGTAGCATCTGTCCAGTCATCGGCTACAGCCCGGCGGGTATTACAGGGGCCGGGTGAACTCGTACCTGTAACAGGTAAGTTACTAGAACTACACATCAAGCGTGTCGTCTTCCGTATAATGAGCGTTTCAAGGGCTAGGCCCCGGTTACTAGCTCCATGATGATCGCGGGAGTAAAGTGACGCTCAAGCGTCCCATTGGCTCTGGGGAGGTTCTGATTTTTGTCGAGAAAAGCGAACAGTCTGGGCGGCCACTCCTCGCACACATGCTATCTCTTGGAAACCGCACCTCTAGGACGGCGGAACGGTTCTCGGTGACTCCTAACTCTAGCAGAGATGCGCAAATAAGGGCTTGTCGTTTAATTATTTATTTCTTTGGCCGCCTTACGCTCGAGCAATGAGCAATAAGCTGTGGCAAAGAACAAAATCGAATAAGGGCCCGTGGTGCCGATACTCGAAGAATGTCGTAATTCTTCCCATAGACCTAAAGTGTTAGTTGATTTCCTCATGAATGAGCAGATGATGATATGGGTGCTTATCCACTGAGTCTGCTGCATTGACTGCTTGCTCGAATTGCCTTGTCCGTCCCCTTGCTTTCCGCGACGGATTTGTCGCACAGGCAGCCGCTTCAGTCAGGTCTTTTATGATGGGAATCGGGCAAAACTTAGCACCGACTTGAATCTGTGGCTGGAAATCGTCTCTAAGAATCTGCGGGATAACGTCTTTGTCCGGGAGCATGAGCAATTGGCCTGGAAGTGGCAGCTGCGCCGGCCGAGTCAAATGAAGCGATTGCCTTGACAAATCAAGTGAGGCTCTATTGACCCTCCAAAGCCGCCGTACTATTGTTGTTGAGTTATGAGGTTGAGAAAGTCAACGTAGTGTTGTTTAGTCTCGATGCCGAGAACCACAGCTTGCTGTCGGTTGAATTCTGCCGTCGTCCCCATGTGATCATCCTGAGACAGAGAGCGGTACTTCTCGCTCGCGAATTCAATTTCCGAGCTGAGCAGGGTGTTATTCCTTCCATTGAGACTTTTTAAAGAAATCCAATCTAGTTGATCCAGATGGGGCGGTCTTGAAGCACTGCACGATCTGCTCTATGGGACTGCTTGAGACTTATGATTGACTCAAACAGCCCCAGACCCCGCCGCAGTGAAATCGCGGGTCTGGTCCTATAAGTTGAGAGTGGTTACCGCTGAGTGTATTTCGGAGATGGGACATAGCATGAAGTACACCTACTGTCCAAGACGAACTGAGAGAAAAGAAAGAGGGCTTGAAGGCAGCCAAGTGACGTGAAATTTACTCACCGTATTGTCCACCAACCAGCCGTTTCTTTGTGATCCAGTTCCAAGTAAGGGAATTCTTTAAGGCCAAGTGCTAGCCAATTTGGTCTTGTATTTGGGTCCAGTTGTAGGAACAGCAGGACGCCCCACTGATGCCAGTGACGTTATCGGGGTGCACCAAAGGTCACCCTTCGACTACTCAAGGGAGCGGAGCGAACATCATCGGCTAGCTTTGAGATTTTCGGGTGGATTCATCTATTTCTTGTTGGTAAGTTGGATGAAACAACGGACGAAGAGAGCATCCTGACTGTCATTCACCTTTTTGTAGACGGCTCATGGAGTGTGGTGACAGTGCTCGTAACTGCCTGATATGTGATGGACGTGAGCTGGAGCAAACCAGGCGGATTTACTAATACCAGGAAAGTGCCAAGCCCATATCCAAAGGAACTCTCTCGATGACAGGACAAAGATGCGATGGTGAGTAGGGAAAGGACTTCAGACAATGATGATGGCGTGAAGAATCCGAAACTCCTAATGAAAGTGGTGGAAGTGGGGTGATGAGAAGTGAAAGGATAGCGATGTATTGCGGTAAAGGAAGATAGCAGTGAGGGAAAGAAAAGCGTATATGACAGACTAGTGGTGACCTCATCAACTCGGGGGAAAAAGATGGAAGAAAGGAAAAGATCTGCTGAGGCTGTGACTAAGTGGAAGAACAAAAGTGTAGGAGCTACCAGAGGAGGCCAGCTGGAAGTGGAAGTTGAGGTGAGCAGGTGGTCAGGTCTCAGCCACAACCTGGTCGACACAGAGATGTCCAACCACAGTCAGTCAACATGTGGTCATAATGGCGGACATTGAAATTCCGACTTGAGTCAGTGGGAAATGAAGCCGGAAGAATCTTTGAACTCGTATATATCAATAAGGCAAGTCAAAGGCGATATTCGTCGACTAATATGTTGATACATGCGGTCAGCAAGTTCCAAAAGATCGACAGCCACGGTGCGCGAAGACCAAGCTCGTAGCTACCCAGAATTCAGGTTCATCTTCCTAGCCCTTGATCCTCTCCTGAAGCTCGGGTGATTAGTAGACAGGAAAGACACCTTGAAGGAGTCAGGTAGCGATTGAGCCACATTATCCCATGAAAAAGAACATTATTTACCAAACGGGGTTAGGACTACTATGATGTTTTTGAGAGGAAAACTGGAACTTGCGAGGAAGGAAGTTAGTCCACTAGATGGTATTTGCTGAAAGTGGCCTTTTATCCAGAGAGCCAGCATATGAAACCGCATCGACGCTCAAGAATATGAAGGAAAGGAACAATGAGAAAACAATGGAAAGCGGTGGAAACTATTCTCTCTCTCCATAATTGATGACGAAAGAACATGTTGTAAAAGTGAGGTCAGAAGTTCAAGCTTGGGGCACTAACAAAGGTCTCAAGGTTCAAGATACGCATCTTCCTAAGGTGAGAATGGAACAATTGTCCAGCCATCACCACCGCCGCCACCACCACCACATGAGATGCCTTTCTGGGGGCTCCCGGTATGAGATGCCCTTGCTGGGAAGCCCCCCCCCCCCCTCCCTCCCAATGAGATTTCCAGCAGCTTCCTTTAATTCAAGGAAGATATCTCCGGCTGCCTTGTCCGCCTGCTAGGCCGAGCTGGTGAATACCCAGACTTCAGCTTCCAAATCCGTCATCAGACTGCCAAGCGCTCCCTATTTGCAAGAAGAGATCACATCAGGACTTAGTTCGGAGCGGAGTTATCCTTCTTGCAGTGCTTGTGTGAGGTCAGCAATGATGTGATGGGTAAACAGCCTGCAAGGAGTGACTTATGCGAGTACGTGAACTATTGTGCTTGAAACGGCGGCTGCACTCTCGAAATTCATAGACTTACTAGGTCTGAGAAGCTTCCATTTTAGAATCGCAGAATCACTCGGGGCAAAACCACCCGCGGTGCTTCCCGACGCCTGAGCAATAGCAGAGCCCATCTCGACTTGGTGTGCCTGAGCTGACTCGGCATTGACCTAGAGTCTAGTTGTACATTACTTAAGGTGAGCTGTCTGTGTTCTGAAGATGAGAAGGCGTGCCGCTGTCAGTATTGAGTGGGAGTTGGCCATTTAAAGGAGCCATAGCTGAGTCACTGGCGCCGGTGACACAGGCGGGATGTCTGTCTCGGTGAAACTCCTGATGATAGCGGCTGGCTGTAATTGCCGATATGGCTTGAGACACAGAAACGTGATGAGATACAACACCCTTGATGTTGGCATTGTGGGCCGTGGCCAGTCAAGCCCGTGGCAGTAGGTGCGGGAAGATTCGCAAGGTACTGAGCTGGTTTCATCCTCTGGCGTAGGATCCAATACCAGCAACAGCGGTATTAGTGTTCAGTGAATCACCATAGGCGTAGTCGTCAGTCAATGACTCCCTGGACAGCGACAAGGACATTAATCATGCTCTGGTTTGTTGCTGCGGCGACCTGCTCAGGGACATCGAGGACGTTGTCCTCCAGCCAGTCCTCTATCCTAAATTACCTTTTCGTCAGTTTGGCTGCGTCTTGTACCAGTAGATACCTATACTTACGCGTTGGAATCTCAGGCACAGATAGCAGTATGGGACTTGCTTCATTGGATGGTGAGTAAAGTGTCCAGTCGTTGTGCCGAGGAAGGTGACTGGAGTGAGTGGGTTGACTTGAAAACAATGTGGGAGGGGCGAGACGAAGGAGAAAATCTGATGACTGACGGATGGATAGGTAGAGAGGCAGAAAACACAATATCAAAGAGTGTGGAAGGCGCAGCCTTGAAGTAAAAATCCTGATTGCAGCCTTCGTTTCCAGGAATGAAGGCGATGACCTCCGCATATTCACGTTGGCACTTTGTAGGCGTCGTGAATACACTTCTGATCAGGGGGCTGGGGAAGCCTCGTCCCCGTCGAGTGATTCATGAGCTCTCTTGGGCAGCCGGTCCACTCTCGTATTTAGATGAGCTTCCTTCTCCTGCCCCTGCTTTGAGAACACATATCTTCTCCGAATATGTGGACTTTGCCTATCAAGAGTTGATGCAAGATCCGAAACAAGAACTACTTGGTAACATGTAGTTGTTTCAATTTGTATGATATCGAAGTATAATGTTTGGATTTTGCAGTGACGTGATGCGATTCTAGGTACCTAAGCTAGGTTGCCAAAGTCATGCCGCGTAGCTGATTTGACGTGGTTGACTACTCTGAACAACGCATACGAATGATACCATGACCTTGAAACAATAAGAAAAGGAGGAGTCTGCATCATGGATAGTCCGGCGTGGAAGAACTCAATCTGTCCATGATTGACGAACGTTGAAATCATACAAAGCTCAATGATATTGAAGTATAGAGAGAGCATGCACATTTGAACGAGGTTTTATTGGGTTGTTTGAGGTATAAAAAGAACATGAAAAGGTGAATCTTGAGGTGTGACTTCACTATTAGAGTCAGTTCTCGGACTTCAGTGACATTTCAGAGCGTACTTACCACTCAATGTCTCCATGCGACGAGACATTCTCCTAAACGAACGCTGAAATTGTAGACCACCCCTCATTCCAAAGTCGGACAAGTCTCTTAACTAGATCTAGGACGCCGACCGCCATGGTTGACCTTATAGTGCTGCGTCGAAGAAAGTCAGCAAGATCTCATTATTTCCGAAGACGAAAAACGTACACGAGTGCGAGAGCCCTTGTGCTCATATGAACGACCACAGCCAGCGAATTCGCAGACGAACTCATCCCTGTCGTCATCTCCCTTGCCAACTGTAGGAGTCGGCGAGACGCTATCGCGGGCAGCCTGCTTCCGGGCAGAAGCCATCGCCAAGGGAAGCGCAGCTCGTAGGACTCGACGGCCAGCAGGCGTACCTGTGCTGGCAGGAGCGACTGAAGCAGTCACTTGTGCAGGAGCAGCCTCGGGAGCTGAGACAGAGGCTAGGAGAGCTCTCTGAGCGACGGGATGGCCCGGTCTTACAGCTGAGGCAAATGGCGCAGCGGTTTCGGTGGGATCAGCTTGTTCTAGCATCTTTTGGGTGACCTTCAGCGCGACGCGCAAGACTTCGTCGAAAGGGGTGTTTGTATCGGTGGAGCACTTCTCGAGTGCCTCAATGACGCTTTGTTCTAGGGGGGGTGCCATTCTACGGTGATCATTAGCTCGGAACGAATAAGAGTATAAGATTCTGACAGATCAGGGCCCAGACTTACGCGTTGGTGCGAGCTTGATATAATCCAAAGGTGAGATGTGATTGCTTGTGGAGGTAGTGAAGTTTTGCTTTCTTGAAAGTGAGAACTCCGTTACTAGGAGTTGGGTTGGATGGTGTGTCTGTAAAAGCTTTGGTTCGCAGTTCTGAGACGGCAAGAGCAGCACATACTTCCAAGGAAGAGTGAGGGAGGGAATGAGCGACCCAATTGCTGTAGGGTCTTGTCTTCGATTCTCTTGAAGTGCGCCCAGTACGCGGTACTTGAACCAGGACGACCCCCAGATCGCCTGGCTGTGGCCTCAAACAAGTAAGGATGATGGCTACTTCGCCATTGTCCTGGTCTGTTTTGGGGCCCTGCTGTTTCATGGGGTTCGCAAGGCCCGGGGTGTATGCAGACTATTCAGCTCTAGCGAATACGCCTGCTAAAGGATATATGGAGATGGCTGTTGAAAGGTATTTAGTATTCCAGAAACCGGAAAGAATAAGGCCTTGCTTGAGATCCACGACGTGCAATTGTTATAGATGGATGAGACAATAGGTCAGGAAGAACCAAGGATTCTATGGATCATCTGGAACAAATCACGGTAGCATCAGACTACGAGCGAAAGGCAAGTTTGAGTAGACCCAGCGTGCCCTCAAGAGTGACAGCCTTTTATGCCGCAATTGAACTCCATTTCCCCTTTTATCTGGACATCATGTTCATGTCCGGGTAACTCATCCAAGGGAAAGATGGAAGTTGAGAAAGGCAGAGGCATCGAGACAAGGGTCAGGGGGCGGGAAGTTGAATAAACTACGTTAGCCTAGTATCATGGTACGAGGTTGAGCACCTGCGCAAAGTCTGCTTCAGATACCGTTCTCGTAAACTCCTCCTGCAATGAGCATGCTGTGAAAGGTTTGGGGCTGACCCCAGGACGGATATCATCAAGGACTGCCATTGTTGATGAGAGTAAACTCCAATGGTCATGAGATGATGAGTAGGCGCGTAGGAACCGGTCAATCGCTAGATGCTTAGGTGAAGCAAAATATACAGAAATTTCCCAGTCTTTCAAAGTCTGACCCGGGGAAGGTGAGACTCTGAAATGTCACTGCTCAGTCCGGGTTCAAAGCCAAAGTCCCGGAGAGCACCCATGGTAGCAGAGCTTAGGTAGTGTGGTTGTCGTCTTGGGTACAAGGTTAATGGAAGTGCAGCATGCTATTCAGGTTTGAACCCATATTTGAATCCAGATTTGAAAGATATTCGTTTGATACTCCCTGTGGTTAAGACCCTCGTCAGCAGGCATCATAATCGCAATAGTCTTCAGAGCCGGAAGACGCCGTATATGCCCTCGGCAACGGATGCGTTCAAGTCCGGCAGAGTTGGGGTCACAGGCTGATCCGGCCTCAAGGTTGTAAGGTGAAGGGATTCCTACTGGGCCCGTCGCGACTATGGGCAGCATGATCATGCTGCGAACTTCTGAGTTGCTGTACGACCAAGACAAGGCTTAATTGAGTCTATGATGTATTTTCCGAGGCCAGTCTTCCACCGTTTGATGTGTACAATTATGAACAAATAAATAGGAAAGGTTAATGAGAACGAGACAGAGCGACTAGTCTCGTAGAAAAGACTGGCTTTGTGCTGTGTAGCGGGACTTGGCGAGGCCACATTTTGATGCCCTGTCGGTTCAAGGTTGAGTATTGTGCCGTAGAATCTGGGAGTCTGTTATGTTATAAATATGACAGCGGGAGTCTTTGCGTGATCCACTCCTCGTCTTGGTCGATGACGCTCGGTATGTGACTTCGTCATTGGCCTCAGAGGTCTTGGTAAGCGCTGTGATACCTACTCATGCTTGCCAATAGATTAGCTATGGCGGCAGCGTTATAGCTTTGTTGAATTGCGTACCGTGTCGTCTGATTTCCCCTTGAATCCTGGTCCCGTCAGGGTCGATCTTTCACGCCTGTGAAGCTGGCAAAGGAAACCACCGAGTAGCTTTAAGTTTTCGAGCTGCATGAGTATTTATAATCCCGGTTTCCGTATTGCGGACAGGAGTCATCTTACCGGGCTGCTTGTAGTCGAGGATTAGTCTAGGAACTGAACCTCAGCCACGATTCGGATGTTCTTCGCGGAACAAAACATTTTCTCGGGAGTATCCGTGACTGATATGGTCGTTTTGGAAATGATTTTTAATAAGCTCAGACCGGAGCTCGTCGTCATTGGTAACCATCAGGCGTCGCATCATCTCTTCCCGAACTAGGCCAGTGGCAGCCGCCACGGTGTCGGTATAACATAGAGTAATACCTTTTCGAGGCTGGTAAACCATTGTGACACTGATTGGTACCTAGTGGCTCGCCTTTGATTGAATGAACAATGAGAAAGGGAACGTTCCTGGCTTCTTTGAGATTTGTTGATATTCGTGGTGCGTTTGTTGGGAAGATGATTTCGAACAAGAGCTTTTCGGATTGCCTCGTGAGCAAGAGTAGGAGTTAGTTCTTGCCCACCTCACTGCTCTCTGCCTTCATCGTCATCCGGCCTCATGCTGATTGAGAGTGAGACTCACGATGCAATGCCCCGCCTCGAAGGCCCAGAACGGGGAGGGGAGTCTTCATCCCGCTCAAAGACCTGATATTCCAACGAGAACCTATCGAAACCTCTTCTCTTTCAACCTCTGTTTGCTGTTTTCACCTTCATTCTCTTCAAAACGCGTCTCTTGCCACCTGCAATATACGAAAGCCACCATCGCCAACACGCAAAATACTGAGGGCGCGTCGACAAATTGGGGCGCCGGATCGTAAGTTTTCTCTGCCACGACCTCGAACGATATTCGTTTTTTCTTTTGGTTCGAATTGTGCGGTTCTTGAGCTGATTGTTGTTTCCTTCAGGTGAAATTGTCACCGCGATGGTCAGAACCAGAGGTATGGGAGGTGGTGGGTCCCCAGTCGTTCCTGCCTCTCCTGCTGGTGGTAAAAACATCACCAGCCTTCAGCCGACTTCACCTTTGGCCACCCGAAAATTTTGCTCATCCCTCAATTTTGGCACCAAAGCATCCAATACATCATCTCCTCCTCGTGGCAGCCTTCGTTCCGGTCGCAGCAGGCTTCCTATCCCATCCTTATCCTCCCTCTCGCCCGAAGACTGCACCGCTCAGGACGCCGACTACGAGGCAGACAATTCGGACCCAGCTTCTCCCGACCACAGCAATACCTACGTTTCTGAAGAGTCCGTGGATCAAAAAGAGACTCCCAGGCCCAAGGCAAGGAATCGCAGCCCTTGGGCACCTGACGAGAACATGTCGGCCGCCACCCCTTCAGAAGCGACCATCAGCGGCACCACAGACACCATGACGGACGATGGAGGTACTCCCCTCAACGACACTCCCATTCCGATTGACTTGTCCAGCGCTCGCCGAGCCAAGACTCCCGACGTGGACCTCACAGGCTCATCCGGTTCCTCCTCAGCTCCCTCAACTCCTACCAAGCTGGCTAGCGAGCGCCGCCAAACCACTCCCAAGGGACCGAAGCTCATTTCTCACAAGGAGGCGTCCAAGCAGCTTCGCGATCTGATTGTCGCCCACAACAAGAAGGGAGTCGAGATAAAGGAGATGTTGGCCCCATACAGAGACCTGACACGCGATGATAACGCGACCGCGACAATTCTCGACGAATGCGTCACTGCGACAAATGCTCGTCTTGTCCGGGCTATCGAAGATGTCGAGGCTCTTGAGGATGGCCGTCCGTCGCGGGTGACACCCTATCCGGCTGACAAGATTCCCGAGCTTCTTGCCGCTGTCGAGAAAGCCGAGGCCGATAGGAACGCATTCTATGCTGAGACTCAGCGCTTGTTCATGCAACTTGCGATACTTGAAGAAGAGCAACATGCTCTCAGAGCTAAGGCGATGATTGCTAGAAAGGTTGAGCTTGAAGCTAGATTGCGAGAAGGCATGCCCACTGCCTCGGCGGCCTGCAACAAACCTTTTGCGCCTTCTGGATCCGGCTTGCCTATCGCTCTCGGAACTCCGAGTGGTTCGACGCCTACGACTGTTGGACGGCGGGGTATTACGAACAAAACGCCTATTGTGTTTACATCTCCCACGAGGCCGGAGGTCATCGGCCAGAATTCGAATGGACAGAACTTCACAGCGGGCATGTGTGTATCGAGCTTGGATAATTCTCAGACGCCCACTAGGAAGAGAAAAGTTCGAAACTGATGGTCTGGATCGGTCTACTACTTTCCTGTCCAGGAACAGGAGCTCTTTTTATGCCATCTTCTTGTGCGGCATGATATGATTATACAGTCGCCAAGTTGCAAAGGTGAGTTGGCGTTGATTGCTCGAACAAGCTTTGTCGTCTTCTAACTCAAAAGTAGATGCGTCTTGACCATGACTAAGCTTGCTCTTAGCCCATCGACTACGGATACAATTGCTTGTAATAAGCAAAGTTGTGATTCTGTCATCTGCTTTTTTAGCAAACTTGCCGTCGGACTGTATGCCAATACTCCGTATAAACCTTTGCTCAAAACCCAGCTAATTCGTATCGTATATGCAGATTGTCCCGCTTACCCTCGAATGCTAATTCATGGCCAAAGTACCCCAAATTGCGACTAAATTTGGAAGAAGTCTCATGACATGTCCGCGGATCGCGGAGCCGGACGGACCAGGCACCAAATGCCGCGTGCATGATCTTCCGCCAATGCAGACGCGGCAGCGGGTTGCGCCGCTGACACCTCTCGATGCATGTTACCAACTTACCATCCAGTATGGCACTTTTCCCCGCGTTCTCCAGACTAGACAGTCTAGACTAGCCGCGCAGCATACCATTCTACCGAGCTTGGGGTTTCCAGGCACGCACATTGGGTCGCGTATGCGGGCAGGATTGGGGCTAGACATTGACGGCTTTTGGGGGACGATGATGTGTTGGAATATGAATTGGCAAACGGGATACGACGGGCCACGCGTCTGGATTAGACTGGTGTCTTGACTCAGGATACTCAGGGGACACGTTTGGTATCCATAGCTTTCATCGTTTTGCGCATTCTTGTATAGTACTTTCAGGCATGCCAGCCTTGAATCAGATTCGTTTTCCTTCTCCCCCATTCACCATTCTATCTTACTCTTGACTAACGATCCGGTAGTAGAAGACAGCTTGGCGATCATAATCGGGCTCGTATCGGCCTTCCATTCACGGACAATTTGTCACTACTGCCCGTCGGATCCCGGCACCATGTTGTCGCTGACAATCTAACTCTAAACATGGAATGAACCCCTCGCATCCTCGCTCAGACTGCGGGGCACAGCTCGAGCTCGAGACTCTACGTGATCCTTAACCACCATCGACGCCACATCCGTGCCTGACCCAACCGACCGAGCTTGGTTCCCTAGAAGCGTCCCAACCGCTGTTTTGACGAACGAGCGATGGCCCGGCCAAGTCACCACAGAATAGAACCGATAGCTCGGTCCATTCTAGCTTCCCTTTTCAAGAGACTGAAGCCCTCATCCGGCCCGCGTATCCCCGTTTAGAATGGTACTCTAACATACGAGGTCCACCATTCGAGTCAGCGCCCCTGTTCCCGTCATCTCACTTTAGGGAAGGACATGAACTTGGCTGCGTACGTTTCGTGAGAACATAAGAAGGAGACGATTTGTCTTGGGGTTTCATCTGGATTCCGTGTCCCAGCAGGCCCCGGCTTCTCAGATCTCTTCAGCCATGCACCTCAAGACCCTCGCCGCCGTGGCCGTGAGCTTGGCCTCCATCTCCCCCGCCGCAGCAGACACAACAACTACCATCGACGCCAAGTCGAACCGCGGGACCTGGGAGGGATGGGGAACCTCTCTCGCCTGGTGGGCAAAGCGCTTTGGCACTCGCGATGACCTCGCCGACATCTTCTTCACCACCAAGACCACCACCTTCGGCGGCGCGAGCCTGCCTGGTCTCGGCTTCAACATTGTCCGTCACAATGCCGGCGCCTGCAGCACGAACAGCATCAACGGCGAGAGCATGGTGGTCTCGACCAAGATGATGGCGTCCAGGCAGATTGATGGGCACTGGGTCGACTACACCAACACCGACCCAGCCTCGTCTGCTTGGAAGTGGGACGTTGACGTGAACCAGCGTACCATGATGCAAAAGGCAAAGAGCCGCGGCGCAAACCGCTTCGAGCTCTTCTCCAACTCGCCCATGTGGTGGGCAACCAAGAACCACAACCCCTCGGGTTCCGCCGACGGCAGTGAGAACATCCAGTCGTGGAACCTCCAGCAGCACGCTATGTACATGGCCAGCATTGCCAAGTACGCAAAGGACAACTGGGGCATTACTTTCGAGACCGTCGAGCCCTTCAACGAGCCCACTGCGAATTGGTGGAAGGCAGACGGCACGCAGGAAGGTTGCCACATTGACGTCGCCACGCAAGCGACAATCATCAACTACCTCCGCACCGAGCTCAACAACCGCGGCCTCACAACCATGTCCATTGCCGCTTCAGACGAGTCCTACTACGACCAGGCCGTCACCACGCTCCAGAATCTCGGCGACGCCGCTCTGAAGAATGTCGCGCGGATTAACGTCCACGGATACCAATACGCCAGTGGCGCCCGCGACAAGGTCTACTCCCTCGCATCGGCGCGCGGTCTCCGTCTCTGGAACAGCGAGTACGGCGAGAGCGACGCGACGGGTGAGAGGCTGGCGAGCAATATGATTCTTGACTTCCGGTGGTTAAAGCCCACCGGATGGGTATACTGGCAGGTCCTCGACGGCGGTGGCTGGGGTGTTATTGATGCGGACAATGAGGCCGGCACGCTGGGCTCGGCGAACCAGAAGTACTTTGTCTTTGCGCAGTTCGCTCGCCACATCCGTGAGGGCATGCGTATTCTGGACGGCGGCTCGGACAACGTCGTCGCGGCGTACGATGCTGCCAATTCCAAGCTGATCATTGTTGCTGTCAACTGGGGCGCGGCGCAATACCTCAACTTTGACCTCAGCGGCTTTTCGCAGGCATCGACGAATGGAGCTACGGTTACGCGTTGGAGGACGCAGATTGGAACTGGTGATCGCTACGTGCAGGCGACCGACACTACCATCAGCGGGACCAAGTTCTGGAGCTACTTTGAGAGCAAGATGGTGCAGACATTCGAGATTCCGAATGTCAAGTTGTGATGCGGCTTGATGGTTACGTTTGCGATTTTCTTTTCCTAGCACACATGAAAGCAAAGTCCATTCGAGTTGACAGTAAATAACGAGATCGTACCCAAACACCCATTTTCTCAATAACCACAAGTGATTTCTGTAAGATCTTTTGCTAGGCAAGGTCGATTGGGACTCAACCCATACTTCGGTCCACCTCAATGCTAGCATATGTCGACACTGACAACCTTGACTTCTGTCCAATATCACGAGTGTTCCAAAAGCCGCTCATTGATGTCTAATGGTCGCATCGAGTCTTCTCATGTATCCGGTATCTACATGTAGTTCTAAGCTGACAACACTCAAAGCGGGATGCCGCCGGTCGGGCGCAAGGTCAAGAAAGGCACCGGACCCGGTTCCAATGGCGCTCAGTTGCAGTGGGACCTAGTCTTGATGCGCGGCCTTGTCGTGTACTGTCCACGACATGTACCCCCATCTCTCGTACACTAAACACAAGGGGCAAAGTATCAGTTGTCTTCTTCTACCTTCCAATTGTCCCAAGAAGGAACCAGATGAAAGGGGGTTTACGAACAAAGTTCTTGCACTGGTATCTGCGCTCGCCGTGGGGCCCGTGGATGATGCATTGGTTAGATGCCACGGCGCACATCTACACGAGTATTAGCTCTCACTATGTTCTTGATTTCTTGGGCTCTGGCAGAGTCTGGAGGGGGCGGTTTCTAACACCCCATATCATCCATGGCTTCTCTGGGATGTGAGCAGGTGGCTGTGCCATTCCAGCGTCTGGGAGGTCTGGGATGTCTTCGATGGGGACGGCAGCGGTGGCTCCGAGGCCGAGGAGGATTGTCGTTACCAGGAGCTTGGGTAGATGCATCATGGTGGTTCTTCAAAAGAATGACATGGTTTGGAGTTTTGCGCTTTTACGTTCTACTTTGTGGCGGATAGGAAGGGGTCAGGGGTTTTTACTCCCCGGGCGGCGATCCAGGTTTCATTTTTCGTCAACGTTCTAGCAGTAGACTTTCAGCCACCGACGTCTCTGTGGAAATCCTTGTATCACATGACTGGAACCGTTGTGGGTTTGGTCTTGACTTCCATATGCCCGTTGGTCAGATACGAGCATACTTGATGTTTGATTTCCTAACTTATAAAAGCGAACCTACACCTGCACAGGTAGAAGTTGAGTCCACTGACGGCATTGCCTGATCTTCACTAACAGCACATAAATCAGCGCTACAGCAGATGAACCGACACGTAATAGATGGCAATGGGAAATTCATATCAGTAGGAGCAGCATATTGCTCCAATATGTCCGTCGTGAATCTATTGGCTTCTCAGCTATTGTTGCCAACCGCCGATGTTGATCCTGCTCTCAAGACAACTCCAATCCGAACTCCACGGTTCGCTAATACTTTACTCCACCTACCCGACTCGGAAACTTCATGGGGAACTTAGGGGCGGTTGATTGGTCTTGGGCCGTGCCTGGACAGCCCCCCGGGCGCCTGAGGGCGATCGGAAGGGATGCAGATCCCTCGAGCCTAGAGGGAACTTCCTTGACCTTGGATGCCAGTACTGTAAGGAATTGATTCACGTGTGACGCTGGGGTTCAAGTTTTGATGTCATTCGAGTACTGACTCACCTCCTTTATCTGGATATGCTCAAATGGCAAATAGAGGGCCGGATACGCGTTGATTTACTATGGGCATGGGGGGGAGTGAACTTTAAGATGGTGCAATCAGTCTCAGCAACAGTATTTGTACTACATAAGTCATGACCAGAGGCCGATCGGAACACCACACCGGATTGAGAAGTTGCACGCGCTCAGGAGTATACGATTCGGTTCTCTACATAATCTACCAATACTTATGAGAAATGACATTCTGCCCAGTCGTGATTTACCTCAAGGTCTTGATGCATGGGCTCAGGAAGTCAATGCTCCGTCCAGTGCCTAGCGCCCGGCAAACCTTGGCCCACCTTCTTGACCCGTGGTCATCTACGAGCGTGATGTTGTGGCAACTGTATAATATCTGTCTTTTCTACCATGTTGATTTATAGAAGTAAAATGACTTTTGGACTCATACGGGAACTTAGTTGAGTGTGTGCGTGTCCTTGGTCACAACCCGGGCTCCAAGCCGTTGCTACATGTACCTTAGTAGCGAACTTGCGATGCATGATGAGCATCATACTTACTCGGCACCGTTACCACAAAGATCACAGGGTCGAAACACTTGACAACATACTTAGCAGACAATCATGTAGATGACTTCGTACAAATATTAAATCCACGTCAAGGCGTAACCGTTATCGCTTATCCCTATTTGCCCCTCAAACTCTCTACCGTGAGAAGAGAATATTGCAGTAACTGCAATGCGTCATCTTTTGATTTGTAATGCCACTGAACGTTGGACGGAGCTATTACGTGCACTTCCTCTGTTGAACGGAGGGCGTAGTCGTAGATCGCCCGTGGATGGTGTTGGATGGGCCTAAACGCATCTGTAGGAGCTCACTGGCAGGAGAGACAGCAGTTAGCAATTTAAGTAAAAATGCAGTTTTCTCTAATGTTGAGTGATATGATGAAATTTCAAGGACCCTTACTCTTGTCGTTGAAGTTCCAGATGGAGTCGGCAAGGTTGTAGATGCCAGGGTTGACAATGTTGACAATGGAGGCTCCTGTGCATCCACCATCCCTGTTCATACGTTTGTGATTAGCTCGAGACTGTCATAAGCACTTGTACCATTGGAATAGACTGACTCCCAAATAGTGCAAGATGTTCCGGCATCAGGCCCAAGCGACGAAACAACATCGTTGAAGCCGTTGTACAAGTTGTCTAGACGGAGCAATGTTATGTGAGGATCTCATCCCAATTTCCCCCGTCATGGCATCGCTTTGGGTAAAGCTTACAGCATTGACCAGTATTGGATTCCAGGTTCTGGCAGCGGCCGGAGAAGTTCGCATCGGAGCAGATGTATAAGTGCGTGATGGCTTGGATCGTGTCCCCTGTGGGGTTGTCAACGCTGTCGACAGGGACATTGACTGGTCCATCATCTTCGGCTCGGTTGATCACGCCTGCGAAGGCGGCGCTGACCAAGGTGGCGATTGTGAGGATAGACTGCATTTTGGCTCTGAATACGTCGATGACCTTGATGATATTGAGGCAATGTGAAGAATGATGCGAAACCTGGGTAGCTGGAGATGTTGACTGAAAATGAAAAGACAGTTCGATAAAACGGGCGTGACACAGAGATATTTATATACACCTCAAGATGCCCTAGACACTTGATAGTATCTCCCATCATGGCACTCCATCATAAGTACTCAAGCTAAGGTCTTGACTGACTACTCTGAAGCTTCTCCAGTCTCCATTCATTTTGCATCATCAATATTGACACCGGCGGCAATGTCGGTGCTGACTTGCATCTTAGGTCTTGGACAGCTTCCTTTCTTGACTCCGGCTACAACACTTGCGCTGACTTGCATCAAATATTCGGAAACCCGCAGGATCAGCCATGATATGGATGGAGTCGTTGTATGGAACTTCTGTATAGCCTGCTTACAATATTGTCGCACTTCTAACTCTAGGTGACCCCGCCGTCAGTGTTGTGACGTCCCAGCGTTTACCTCAAGCCCCACGAAATACGAGCAGATGCTCTGCCATCTAAGGTAATCCCATGTAAACTTATATGTTGGTTGTAATAGACGGTCTGGTTTTGTCACAATCCCAAGTTGGTAGACCAGCTGGGGTATTGTGACGGCGGAATTCGAAGCCAGACAAAACGCTTACTGATAACACAAACATGTCTCGCCGGGATCTTTGTTACCTCCGGAGAGGATCATCAGAACAAGCCTTTGAGGAAGTGGTTGGTCTCGATTAGGTGCCTAGTTGAATATCAATTTGAAAAATGTACTAGAAAGAGGCGAAACCGTAACGTTAATTCGCATTAGCAACTAGCTATCTCAACACGTGTGATGACAACTTTTTTGTTATCCCCTCTCACCCATGCATGGCGAGAACAATGGATCATAAGCACTGTGACCTTGGCTCCTTCGGGAAGGTCGGTCTATCCGTGCCACCACCCGCGCATGCAACTCTATTATCCGGCACGGGACGACGGACTTCAAAACCGAAGACCACTGTCACAGATGGGCGAGATTTGACGAATATAGGCTGGTAGGTCTAGTCATTTGTTCCTTCGGCCGCATATCGTTGTATTGGTGGGCCCGTATATGCGTCAATGACCACCGAAACCGGTCGAGAGGCTAAAATGGACTCGGAATGTCAAAGATCACGAGTTGGAAGCCCAGATTCTGCCAGCCTGCTTCTCTCACCTGCAGGCAGGGTAACATCACCGCGGATGGACTCGGCTGCTTACCGAAAATCTTGTTTTGGCCAAGTCCTGCATTTAAGTAACTTGATATTCATCTTGCCTTACCCTATTTGAGCGAATTGGTGCGATTGAAAGGGTAAACACACAAAATCAGGTCAAAGAAACGTGTGAGACCTCGCTCTATTAGCCTCATTTCAAGAAAGGGGATGAAAATTATTCTTCTCATCAAGTGATTAAGCTCTACATTTTTCCGACATAACAAAGAGCCGGTTTCTAACCGATTTCCAACATCGGAAGCCTCATTACTCTTTGATAGCTCTATTCACATAAGTGTTGCGCAAAGAAAAGGATCGAGCGGATGCATTCGATGAATTATGCCTATATGCAGACACAGAACGTCGGTGTGGGCGATTTGTGAGGGTCTTTGAAAACCTCAACAACAGACTCAAAAATATGAAGAGGAAGAAAAAGAAACATCATCCGCGTGATGCATCCGCCGGTAATCGAAACCGGGTCCCTTGCTGACCAGGTGTTAGAATGGAAGGCAAGGATGATAACCACTACACTACAGATGCGGATGTTGGTGTCCGGGAAACACAGGGATTATGGTCCAAGCCGGCAGAAGGACACCTATGTGCTAATCTGCTCCGCATCCGTGTCTTTGTCGTAGACCCACAGTGCGGACTTTGGAAGCCAATGTGTTGAGGCGGGCGAGGGGGAATTCGTTGCACAACAGAGTGACTGAAAAGCCGTGGGTACTTATGCAACGAGACATCAAAATTTGTCAACTTGAGGATGGGTTTGAAAAGGGCGAAAACTAGGTCAAAGAGACTTTGATTCGTGGGACCTCAGCCAAGCATGCCCGCTACTCATGAGGTCTATGTTCTGTTTGGACCATCGTCCTACCTTACTCAGAGGAGGGCTCATCCGCCAAGTCAACCTGGAAAACACCCTTCGAGAACCTCACTACCAGGTCCTTCGCTTCAGTCTTCGCGTCCTGAACATTCCATCGCTCTCTATCCGTCTCCCATGTAAACTTGGTTATCCGACGGCTCTTTCCATCATCTCCTGCGGGCTCGACCGTGATCTTGCCCAGTGTGTACTGAGTCCAACTCCGTGCAAAGACAACACTCTCCTCGCCGTCCTTTTCGAGTTGGCGGATGACCCAGCGGTCGTCCATATCCTGCGGCGTCAATCCCTCCTTCATGCGTTCCCATCCGTCCGCGGGGATAATCCGCGCCTCGTCCCAGGTTGACGAGGCCGGCTTCGAGAGCTCCCACCTAGCATTGTCGTCGCCCATTGTTTTGGTAATGTTCGGGTTGGTGCGGGGTTGTACAGTGCAAATATATCGGATGTCGCACGCAGGTCTTGATTGAGATTTGACGAGTTGGTTGAGGATGGAAACTCGACCAAGCTGGTCACTTAAGTGGTTGCTCCGAGGTTGTACAACCTCAGATATATGTATTGTAGATTGATCAGACTGCTGCCTATTCGTTTTTGAGTTTCCCCTCCTCGTTGCCTGCTGATACTGGCGCTTGTCCCCAACTTCTCTCACGAGATGACTCAGACGAGGCACTCCTGTCAGCTTCAAACGGCTCTTCTGCATCTTGCTGTCGTTATTGGTCAAGGCCTGCAATGCTGAGGAACCCAGCAACTGGTTTAGTATTGAGCATAAGAGTGCGAATAGCCTACCGTCAATTATGAAGCTTACTGAAGGCCTGTCTGGAATCTTGTTTTTGTGCAGCCCGACGATTCAGGGGCAAGGCGCGGGTTTAGTCATCAACTCCTCAATTCATCCAAGAGCCCAAGCGTCGGGAAATTGCATCTATGGGCTCTTGGCAAAGTATTCTTCCCATCTCAGGACTCCTCAGCTTACTGTCCCATGCCTTACAGCGACTAATTAATCGACTTCCTGGTTCATGTCAGCATCGGATCCGGCGATTTTTGGGTCGACGTCAAGGGCGCAATTGTGCAGACTTCAGCAGCGCCGCGGACTTAGCAAGAAACGCCTGAACTTGACGAGGCTTGACGTGCGTTCTAGAAGAGGCACAGCTTTAAGAGCTTTTGCCACGTCGAATCTCATTTCGGTCATGGACAATGGTCATAGCTTCTTGAGCACTATGGGGAGTTTGGCAAGGACGAATCTTTTTCGTCCTGAATGGCCAGGACTAACGGCGACCTCAGAATGTCTCGGTAAGCCCTCTCTTTAGTTCCCGGAAACCTGGGTTCTCTAGCGTCGCCATCTAGGCGTCCAGACCTTCCCAAGCACGGCCTTTCCACAGACCATGAGAAAAGTGCGAAAGGATGAGAAATAGTTCCTTATTACATCGGTTCTGCCTCGACTCACTTATTATGGCCTGAGACAGGCACAGTCACCATGCCAAATGCGGGAGACGTCGTCCGGAAACGGGCCCCTGTGATCTAGCCAGTCTCTAGTAATCAGCACCGCCTGCAATGGCGTTAGGTCTGGTCAAAGCGCTCGAGCTTTTTAGCTTCGAAGGCCACGCGAGATGTGTTAGTCGTCGCCTCGCCGCACAAAGGGTCGATAGTCACTTGGTGGCGTTAGAGATATCCTCCATCGGTAGCTCCGCGGTCACAATGAAGACCCCGAGAGTTCGATGACAGCGTTGATGAGCAGCATCAGACATAAAGCCAGATGAGAGAACCATGCACATTGCTTCCAACAATCAAGAGCATTGACTCCAATCCAATCCATCTCTAGTCTTCCAGGTCTTCCCAAACTGTTTCTTCTATCCAAAATGGGTATCTCTTCGTTGACCACGTTTCTGCTCTCCTCCACATTGTTCCTTCAAGCCCTTGCCGCGCCTGCTAATGCCGGCCCAACGGTCACAATCGCCTCCGGCGTCGTGATTGGCACCACGGCCCAACCAGCATCAGCAACCGGAACCGCCAATGCGTACATGGGAATTCCGTTTGCCAAGTCTCCCCCGGAACGGTTCTCTCCCCCCCAGGCCGCGGATGCATGGTCGTCTCCACTGTCGGCTCAAGCTTTCAAGCCGGCTTGTATCCAACAGTTCTTAGAGCAAGGTAATGCTCGTACGTTGCAAAAGGCCTACTTCGGAAACCCGGCTGGGTCTCTTACAGATGAGAGTGAGGACTGCTTGTACCTCAACGTCTTCACTCCTACGGGTGCAACGTCTACCAGCAAGAAGGCTGTGATGTTCTGGTTGTTTCCTGGCAACCTTCAGTTTGGAACTGCCAGTCTGCCTATTTACGATGGAAGCTCGCTTGCCGTCTCTCAAGATGTCGTGGTGGTCACGATCAACTACCGTACCAACAGTAAGGTCTCTCGACGCGCATCTAGTCAGCAAACGTGCTAACCAGACTCCCTAGTCTTCGGCTTCTCCAACTCCCCTGATATTGCAACTGGCTCACAGAACTCTGGATATCTTGACCAGCGCTTCGCTCTTCAATGGGTTCAAGCCAACATTGCTCAATTCGGCGGCGACCCCTCGCGCGTCACTATCTTCGGGGAGTCTGCCGGTGGTGAATCTGTGAAGCAGCTCCTCGCAAACCCGCCCAGCCCACTGCCCTTCTCGGCTGCCATTATGGAGTCACAGCAGTCTCTCCTCATAGGGTCCGGCTCCGACAGCTACGCCAAGGTGCTGAAGAACTTCAACTGCGCCGACGTCAAGTGCCTCCGCCAGGTCTCTGCCACTGATATTAAGGCTTTCATTGAAGCACAGTCTCTCGTCTTCCCTCCCGTCAACGGTGACGGTACATCCATCAACGATGTTCGCAGCAGCATCTCCTCCAAGAAGTGGCCCAAGATCCCCGTCATCATGGGTACCACCCTCAACGAGGCCCGCGTCTTCCTCGCCGTCGAGGGCATGAATGACGGAGCCGCAGCCTTGAGCTCGGCACTCTCCCAAATTGGCGTCAGCTCCGCTATCACGAAAAGCGCCATCACGGCCTCCTACGCCGCAAAGGCCCTCAACGACCCCTACGTCGTCGCCGACAGGATCATAACGGACGCTATCTTCACGTGCACAACGTCCACCCTAGCAAGCTACCTCGCCATCAACGGATACACCGCCTATCGCTATCGCTACGATCCTGTCTTCGCCTCCACCAGCATCTTCGCCAACCCTGGCTCCTACCACACGAGCGAGATTCCCTCAGTCTTTGGCACGTACACCGCGTACAGCAAGTGGGGATCCGCGACGTCGCAGCAGACGAAGCTCAGCTCCTACATGCAGGGCGTCTGGGGTGGCTTCGCCAAGAACCCCGGCGGTGGTGTTGGATGGCCCAAGATTGGAAGTGCTCTTGGGTTCGAGCTTGGACTCTTGGGCTCGGGATCATCGAGTGGTGTGACGGTGTCAGCGACGCTTGCGGCGGATTACCCCTGCGCTCTGTACGCGCCCCTTACGGAAGCCGCCGGCTTTTCTTATTAGTATTTGTTTTTTGTTTGGAGTTTGGAGTTCAAAAAGGCTGAAAGGGTGAATAAATGCAGTCTATTTCCGGCGTCGCGTTGATGGAAGGAGAAGAGGCTTCAACAATGAGTCCAAATTCGGAATTAAATACATTCTTCCATTGCCCTCCCTTAATTCGTTCGGTTAATTCACTTATATAGCATCACAATCATCTTCAAACATGGCAGTTTGGGTGGCAGGAGTATTCAGCCCAACTGGACTCTCTCCCTCGACCAATACATATCAGCATCCCTCGAGTCGTACTCTCTTGACGGGTGAATTGACTGAATCTCTCTGGATCGATTGGTATTTTAGTAGACTCGATATTTTGACTCACAAGCTACAAGGAACACTGCACTTTTTGATCTCCAAGTTGTCAGGCGAAGCCCCAATTTCCGGTACTCCTCCGTCGCCTGTAGACATTGGCTCAACAGCAGGGCCTTCTGTCTCTCCCGAACATACATCATCATGTCTACCAACGCAACTTCCTTCCTCCCCCAAGAACAAAATCTCACCAACTGAAGCCCCTTCCAATCCCTGGATCCCGTCTTCTTGAGCCACCTGCAACTTCACAACCTCCTGCATCACAACGACGACCCAGCTTTTCTTCTCTACGTTATTGAAGAGTATCTACAGCCTTGTCCCGAACTCGCCGCCAACTTGATCCAGAAGATAATGACGTTGAAACTCACGGATTTCGATACAGTAGATGATTTTATCTGCTATGTAGACTTTGTCAGAGCCTGCGCCGAAGGTCATTGGGAGCTGAACGGCATGCAGAACTCTGTCACGATACTGTTGTTCTACAATGCGGTTAGAACGACGCATCCGGGGGTGTACCGAAAGGTGGCGCCTCTTCATGCCTAATTAAATGCTACACAGTGGAATGTCATGGTCGTGGATTTGAAGAAGCTCAGGCTTAACTTCAAGTCTAATCTCATCAAGCTCGGATACATGACACAGGAAGCATTTAAATTCAAGGTTAGGGGTAGCCGGAGATTAGTATTTGTACAAGGCTCTGAATGCAGCAAGGCTTCATTCCTTGCCACACACTTCTGTAGTTTAGGTGTTCAATAAATTTTCTTCTACTTGCGGGGGTTCAAAGCTCATGTGATTGATGCTGGCAAAGCGTTACTACGCAGCCTTTTCCGGAACGTGTAGCTGAATAGAAGCCAGCATCAACGGAGTTGATGCGCAAAGTATGATTTTGTAAGCACAGAGATTTCAGTAACTTTTCCAGCGCAGCGACACGGCGCAATACGGAACAGATGGCAAAGTGGAGTCCGCCGAGAGTCGCGATTAGGATGTCGTCTATCAACAGATCAATGGTTCTTGCATAGAGCAACTCCCTAAGTCCTCTATGCCTCTCTGTAGCACAGTACCTACCTAATCGTTTGGAAATGTGCCTTTGGCATCATGCCTTTCCAATCTTGACAAAAATGAATTATCTCCAGAGACACCTTCATGAGATCTGGGCAAAAACTTGACAAGAGTGGGATTCGAACCCACGCCAATTACTTGACTAGCACCTGAAGCTAGCGCCTTAGACCGCTCGGCCATCTTGCCTTTGATTGGATGATAGCGACAAGGAATCTGCAATCTCAACATGTTGTGGTCGACGAGCGCAGAATCGCAACTGCAAGGTATAGCACAGAGGTTTTGCGACACGCAAGTTTTGGCTCACCAACTGACCTCTACCTTGAGACGAGAATAGAGAGGTGCGCGGCGTCAAGCAAACTTACTTTAAATTCGTGGGTCAAAGCCATCTGCGGGTTCAGCCGCACGAACTTGTTCGAAACCTTTTTTTTTTTGGCTTGCTCGAGCTCAGCTTGCTTGGTCGAATGCGGACTTGAACAGGCTGTGTAACGAGACGACTTGGACCCCAAGACTTTCTCGCTTTGAGGAATAGGCCATTCAACGCGTCGCAATTCTAGTCCATCGCATGCCATCGTCAGGTCCAGTCTCGAAGCTAGAGCCGTTGCAGAACTTCCTCCTTGTTACTCCCTGCCCAAGACAAGCTGCCGCAAGTGCGAGAAAATCGAGATGCGATCCACCTCAACTCCCTAATCTGTAAATGCGTAACTCTCTGCGTGCACGACAGTTGCGAAGGTCCTAGATTATCGGCCTAACAACCTTGTCGACTTGTCCTGTTCGAAAGTCGGCTTTGAAATGGAGCTTCGAAACAATGGGTAAGTGGTTGTTGGCTCTGCTAATCAAAGTCTCACAGTTTACATCAACATCAAGTCCTTTGTTTAGCTGTTGTTGACTTGTGTTGTCAGGGGTGTCCGAAGTTTGATCCTATGCAATAGTGCAAGACAACCAAACCGAGCTTCAGCTCCAGGCCACGGCTTCTTCAAGATATCATACTTACCCGAGTTTGAGACTGAACCAGCGCCAAGTCAAGCCTGCCTCGCATGGCTCTTGACTTCTCCTGGGGGCCACGACGATCCCAAAGATCTTACCTGCATGTTCCAGAAGATCCGCGACCATCTGGGCATGAGAATTACGGCCTCTGTATCTATAAGGATAGGCCGATCTCAATCATAAGAGACCGACTAGTAATTAGCCTATCCTCTGAGCCTCGACGTCACTCGCCACCGAATTTGACGTCTATGGCCGCGCCTGGCGCAGATATTGGTTCAACACAACACGTCCACGCTGAATTATTCACTGAACAATCTCGCGCCTCAATCTCAAAAGCCATCTTCATGCAAAAACTCATCGGCTTAGTGTCAACTGTTGCCCGTTGTGACATATCTATCAAGAATAAAAGGCAGTGTCACCAAATCATTCCGCAACAAACGAGGGTCAGCTTGAACAATTTCTTGTTCAACACAAAGGCGCGCAATGGACAAAACACATTTAACAAACTCGAAGCTGCCAACTTCGTAAACTCAGCTACTCAATTCAATTCATGTCATACGTCAATCAAATAACTAACACATTTGCAGTAGATTCAATCGTGTCTCAATGTCTCAATCATACTTCGAAAGCAACATCGCCACCAAGAAACTGAAGAATCAACTCAGGGCGGTACAAGCAAAGAACGCACCAAACAAACCTGAATGGGCCAATTCGAACCTGAACGAGCAGCCAGTGTCTACCAAAGAACCTCGGCCGCTGCAGCTCGTCGAGAAATACAACAAGGACAACCGCGGCTCTTCGTCCATCCAAAATACCCCAGAAACCAAGGAGACAAGCGCTCAGATGCCTGGGATCACCACCGAACACCCGCATTGCAGTGGCGCCATGCAGGACGACTTGCCGATCCAGATGGTGGACGCCGAGAATGACCAGCAGCTCCCAGACTCGCCTCATCGCCACACCCCCGCGCATCTCCATGTTCACGAGGGCACGGGTGCTGGTCGGATGAACGGTCAAGGTAGACATCAAGCCAATAATGGAGAGCTACCACCAATCAAGACATTCTGGGAGAAGGTCGAGTCTGCCTTGTACCTCTACCAGCTGCGAACTCACGGTGACAACGAGAAGCACGCCGTATACCGTGCTAGGGCCAGAGTTTCCTCCATATACAAAGCGTTCTGTGTCCTCGTCGTCTTTTCATGCAGCCTGCCATTTTCTGTTGCAATATTTGCCGCCAGAGACCACGTTCAGCCTCCCTTGAATCTTCCCTTCATGTTCGTTTGGATCAGTATTAGTGGTATCGCAGTGCTTTGGGCCATAGTGGCCATCATTTTGATCCAGTGGTCCAAGAAAGGGCTCAAACACGACTTGGAGGTTGCTCGGATGGGAGAAGCTTTTAATGCCACCACTGTTGGTGATGGTAGTTCAGAAAGATGCTTCGTGAACGGCGTGCGTTACGAGGGCGAGCAGCCTCCCAAGCCAGACTCTATCACGGATGAAGCACATCAACCAGCAAACGGTCAAGAAGCCCCGGAGGCTTCTGGTTCTATTACGCACCCAAGTCTCGATGTCATCCGTGAATCGAAAGGTAACTGGGCTATCAGCACCAAGAAAGAATTATCCAAGTTGTCTGAAACGCCAGAGTAGGGGCGTGCTTAGAGCGATGGTCTAGACAGACAGGGTGAGTAAAAATAGGGTTTGCTGGAAAAATGAATACGCAATTTACGTTGAAAAATCCAAGTATTCATACCATTCAGCGATGAATACTCAAGAGACCCGAAGAATTGATCTCCGAGGACGGTTATGGAGCTACCAGAAGACCTTGATATTCAGGCAAAGTCACGAGTGTGCAAGAAGCCTTAACCTTTTATTGGCCTGTATTAATTTGTAGCTGTATCCTGAAAATATCCAACAATGGGCAGGCGCGTCCGGGCTCTTATCAGAGTTCTCCCTGGGAAGGAGCATTCTTGGCATTAGCCAACACGCCTCGGACGACGTCGAGACCGAACGGACTGCAGAAGTTAGACCACGCAGGTTCGGGAGGCCTTGAGTCATCAATTGGCGAATGTTTCTGTACGGCCCGAGGTGATTTCCCCAGATTATTGGCCACTCCGTAGCTGCAGATGTTTTGCTTAATTGCTTGCCTAGCCACGTGTTGGGGAGATGATGTGCATCATAAGGTTTGAACGGGTCCATTTGAGGTTGACCAAATGCGGGAAACTTATCTGAGACACAAAAATAAACATTGAATTGGGTTACTGTACCTGGGACTCTGGAATGAAAGATGATTGCTGATGGCAACTCAGCATTCCTGTAATGGTTTGACCCTGAGTCAACGTGGTGCAGGTTTTAACCACGGGCATCTGTACCTTGTCTGCTCCTTTTCCTGACGATAACTTCACCTTCTTCATTTGTAGAAGACACCCGGTCGTTGCTTCCCTCTGGGGAAAAAAGACTTGCTCACCGTGGACCTATGGTGTTGTGGGTGCCTGAAGGCAGACGCGTTTTCGACTTCTGAACCGCGTCAACCTTTCCCACCCGCATAACATGGAATATTATTCTCCTTCTCACAAAGCCAACACTCTCTTTACCCCATAGCCAACCGTCGTTTACTTTCGTTTGTCACCCTCTTCGGCTATTAATTCTTTCCCACCACATCCCCTTTGTCTTTCCTTTCGATCACACTCATTTTTGTGAATACCCTCACTTGGAAGAATCGTCACAAAGCATACATCACCAACGAGCAAGAATGTCGCTGCCGCCCCAGGCCTCGTTCAGCTCTGGCACGACTGCAGTCGCCAGTCGTGGAGCGGCCTACCCTTCTGTGGAGGAATTCGCCTCCTTCCAGCTGCCGACCAAGCCGAGAATCATCAAGACTCTCACTAGCGACGACGTCTCAGACCTTTCTCATGAGCCGTACGATGCGCCTCGCCCTGAGACGAATCCCACGACGCCTATTCCTCCCTCTCCCATGTCTTCTAAAGAGTCGGACAGGGTCATCAACCTCGATCACACTCCGCCTACCGTTCGCGGTCAAAGCATGATTTTGCGCCGTCATCTGCTCAGTGGTAAAGCCAAATCTCCTCGCTGGCCCTTCCAGAACGCAACTCCCCGCACCTCGACCATGGTACCCATTGTCCGAAGCTTCACTGCTACTTCCAGCCGATTCGACTGCCCTTCTAGAGACGACTACAATCCAGCAGTCGAGATCAGCGTCACCGAGTCGCTGGATGAGTTCCAGATCAATCACCCGAATAGCCGACTTCTTGCGTCTCACCCTCAAGGCCTCTCTGTTCACGAGACTGGACGCAACTTGGCCAATATTCCCACCCTAGTCGAGAAGTCTGAGAAAGATGCCCAATCGAGCAAGGCGATCCCTTCCAAATACCGACAGAGACCCTTTAGACTCTTCCACCACCGTCGCTGCAGCTCTCAGCTACTCAATATTCAGATCCTCCGCCACCGCCAGGAGCAGCGAAAGGAGGACTTCGAGACAGACACCACCTGGTACGAGCGCATCAGTCTTGATGACAAGATCTATGTAGGGTCCGCCGTTCTCACCCTCTTCTTCATTACCAACGCTATTGTCTCCATCACTGTCGTCATCACTATGACAGCTTCCCAGATGAGCATCCCTTACTTTGTCGTCGTTTGGGTCATGGTCAGCATTATCGTCATGATCTTCACTGTCGTTATGATCCTTCGCATGCGCTCTTTCCGCAAGAAGGCTACCGCTCTCATTGACGATGAGAGGCGAGTCCGCTCGACCACCTTCCCCAAGCTCTCTCATGAGGGCCATCTACACCTGCCCGCCGATGCTGCAGAGATTGCCCATCGCCGCCAGATTGCAGCCGCGCTTGCGAATGGGCAATTTAACGCAGCTAACTCGACCCAAGAGTCTGAGAAGAGTTCCGATGGAACCGTCGTCGACCAGGTCACCCAGCCGCCTGCCGTATTCGACCCTTTCGCCCCGGCTATGCCCCGCGACACGAGCAGCATCTACCTCTCAGCCAGCGGCACCTCGCCCCAGGGAATTCAGGATCCCAACGACACTGCCTGGCAGAATGTTGACCTTGCGGCGGCCGGAAACTCCCGCACTAGCTCTATGACTGCCGTGGTCCCGTCGGCTCCTGCCGGCGCTCCAGTGAACAACCCGAGATCGGCTTGCTAGAATCATCCCGAGTTTCGGATGCAAGCTTACGGCAGAATGCCAATCTTCCATTGAGTTAGCCGTTTTCGTATCTTGGGAGATCCTATTAGGAACGGAACTGGGTGTTTTGACACAGGAGTCTGGATGGTATAGGAAACGGCGATTGATTTGTGAAGATACCCCCTCCCGCGCAGAGATGGAAACGATTCGGTTTATTCAAGGTTTTGATGTAGTAATACGGTTCAACAAGTCCTAGGCAAGGCAGACAGAAATAACTTTCCCACTCGTTTGCCTCTTGGACCTTGCACTACTTGTGAGCGTGTACGTTTTGTAGTTGAGATCATCGTCCGGCTTCCATATCCGCTCATAACGGCCCAGAATGAGACGACTGCACGATGAACACACTTGCTGCGCCATAAACGCCTACGGTTGCGTTACATATTGAGGCAGTCCGCAGGCTCGCTGCATAAGCTTGATTGGCTGCTGATTGCGCATCTGCGCCTCGCCTGAGTCTCGTCTTTCTTGCCCCTCATCCAAATTTTTCGTCAGTTTTTTCTCAATCTTTTCACAGCAACTCATAGCATGTACATTTGACTTAACGCGATTTCTTTTTCCCGTACATCGGACTTGCTTCGGTGCCTTGAATTCTACAGAGTCCACGCAACTGCTACAATCACAAGATGAAGGAAATGACTTTGTTCGAGAGGCTTAAGCACAAAAGAACAGCGAAGGACCGTACTGTAGTAACGGACTCGGGTTCGTCAACAATGGCGTCTTCGACTGCTTCACTTGTCAAGCCAAACCCATCTTCTTTCCACGATTGTCCGCCCGAGTCATCTTCGTTGCCGGCGGATGTCAAAGAGAAAGTTGACAATATCAGCGACACTACTCCGCCACAATCGTCGTCAACATCTTTTACAGGCAACAATCCGACCTTAACGAATCTTTGGGAGCGGGCAATCAAAGCTCTGCAGGGATTCGGACTCAGAGAATAGGGAGCTTGCGCAGCTATACACAGAAATCTTAGAGGCGGAACTTTCTGGACCTGAAAGCGGCCCCATAGCCATAGAGGCAGACCATCTCAAATACGAATGAATCGCTGAGAGGTTGAATGCAAAAGTAGAGAAACTGAGTCAAGGGCGCTTGACCATCTCGAGAGAAAGCCCCGAGCTAGCGGTTGAGCCCTTGTTCAACAATGTATCGAAACATGTCACAAAAGGTGGACCACTCCTTATGGGCACCATTAAGCTCACCTACATCTCGTGACAAAACATATCGTCGCTGCAAAGGACCTCACCAGCAGTGCAGCTGGTGCCGAGTCTCACGCCGCTCTTGCATGTGCTGGTGGACTGGTCATTCTTACGGTTCGTTTTGCCATCTCATAACCTGAAGCTCGGTTTTGATTCGGCAGGACTAACTTTCGAACAGTTCCTCATCCGTCCCATAGAGCAGATAGAACGCATCTTTCGAGGTCTCGAACTGACCTCTTCTCTCATCTATCGATACTTCGCCATGGAGAGAGTCAATCGACCCAGGGCCCGCATGGAGAGTGTGCCAGCCGAGTCTGCTTGAGAATTCGAGCTGAATCTAGAACGCAATCTGGTCAATCTCTACTCCAAGATCATTGAGCTCCAGGCTCGAGCTCTTTGTTATCTCCAACGAGGCCGTTCAGCCCGATTTATCAGAGACATCTTCAGAGGCAACACGTGGAAGACCTTGATTGACGATATCGACAGGCTAGATTCCCAGTGCCGAGTAAATGCAGAACTCGTTACCAACGAAAAGGTCCTCACCATCATCATCATCATCTGATGTTTCTTGCAAGACTTATGAGATCAAACATCACGAGTTCAAGCGACAGCCCTTGTCATTACGTTAACGTCTTCTTGGTCAATTTCGAGGCATTCTATTGGTATCATCGTGGTTTAGCATCCTCGGACAGTTTATACCCCTCTTCCTCGTCAGACGAAGACAGCAGCGCCTCATCCTCTAGAGCCCAGTCACGCAGCGGTACATCCTCCGCCTGTAGCCTCGTATACTTGCTATTTCTATACTTCTTCACAGCCACGACAGCCCCAATGACAGCGCCAGATAGTACTGCGATGATGAAGCCTATGAAAACCCACCTCCTCCATCCTCTCAGACAACATGGGTACAAGGACATATAAATGCCGACACCCCACTCCATCCATCCCATCTTGCGCCTCTGGTCTGGCTTTAGGCCCTTTCGGACGAGGTGCTTGTGTCGAGGGCCGGTTGGTCCAGACTCGACTCTCTTCAGTCCAAACTTGGGGACAATTTCCTGGCGAGGGTCGGAGGCTGGGTATGCTATGTCTCCCCATCGACCGGAGTAGTAGAAGAAAGAGGTCAGGTTCGAGGATGGCGGTGGAGTTGGGGATGATTTCCCTGGTGGGTCTAGTCTAGTGACGGTGAAAGACTCTTTATCGAAGTGGTAGAAGTATGCTGAGAGGATGGGATCCCATCTTCTTCCTTCGTCGCAGTAATCGACCAAGACGGAGTTGTGTATTTGGTCGCTGATGTTTTGAGTCAGTCTAAGTCTCGGTTTCCGCTCATAAAAGTCACGAAACTCACCCCCTAGTTGGATAGTTGGCATGAGATCCGCGTGCGCTATACACAATAGGCTAGACAATGTTAGTGAACTACAATGCCAAAGGCAGGAAGACCAGGTTGACAAACTCGTCCGTCTGCTTTTGTGAGAGCTGAATCATCCCAACTGAAAGAGGCCCCATCAACGTGTTGGCTATAATAGATTCCGGTTGGCCTCCCACCTTTGAACCGAATCATGTTGTGTTCCCAATCTCCAACATGGTCACCGAAATGCATCCCCGACTGCGCCTTTTCGCCTTTGACCATACGGTTGAATGGCTCCAAGACTTGGCTGATATTCATGCCCTCATTGAACGAGTAGAAGTAGAAGTAGAACGCATCCAGGTCCCGCTCTCCCTTCTCGACGAGAACCACTACGCATGGCGTGGCATTGCTAATCCTGCCATCAGCGTCGGGTGTCGCACCATGAATCCATTCTGGGTAGCTCAAGGGATCATCGTTCGATGTAAGAGCTACCTCATCTCCAAACCTATTGAGAGTCTCCAAGTTGTCTAGGCCGAGAGTTGCAACATTGGAAATGGGGTTCCCGTCCAGAGCCGGAGAGGTGTGCTGAATGTGCGTTAAGAGGTCGCTAGGCATGTACGGGTCCTCAGAGTGTAGCCAGAGAAGAGGTGCTACAATTCACATTAGAACTCTAGAAACCCCCAACACCATTCGCAGCAGTGGGATGCCGGCATCGGATACGCGACTAACTTACCGTGCTGGATGACGTAATCGGGACACCGGAGATCCGCGCCGATCGCCGGCCCGGCGAAGGTGGAGCATGTCAAGAAGCCGATAAGAAGACAAATACAGATTTGCTGCCTTAAGAATGCCTGCATGAAAGCAGGCGCTGGAGCAGCCATCTCATACACAATTTCTTGAATATTGATCGATAGTGTTAGAGGAGATGTGCAGTTGTTTATTGCAAAACTCAAAAGTGTCAGACATCCTTCTGCTTATTCAGCAAATGCACGCATGCACGCCATTCAAAGCAGCAACAAAACAGGACGGGAACCTCGGGATCCGGGAGCTGCCCGGAAGGTTCGGAGTGGAGCCAAGCGCTGCACGCCCCTCCTTTTCTATGTCCGTTAGACTCCGTCTTGACATCCGTCCAACCGTTTATTCTCCACTATGGATGCTCTTACTACGCATCACGGATTCCCGCGGCGTTTGGTTCCGGGGATGAGCAATTTGGCGGGGGCAGTGGGATGATGTCACGTAATAGAATCCCTTCTTTCGCACAAAGTCAAGGCCGTTATCTGTGTGATCGCTCGCGATTACTGCCACCGGAGAGGATACGAATGTTCGGGAGTCAAGTCTTAACGTATCAAGATCACTTGGCGCCTGATGTAATCCCGATGTACCTGTTGTTATTGGCTACCAAAGGAGTACCTTGGCTTCCTAAGGTAAGGTAGTTCCTTCAGATTCATTCAGGAGCATCAACATCTACCAGGCTGAGATCGGTCCATGACTTCATGGAGCAGGCTGTTAGCTCTTCCGCGAGCCTGAAAGTTGGATGAAGATATCCGTTGACTCATGTAGTCGGCGATATCGTTTTCGTTATTCTCAATCTACTTGTCAACGTGCATGCATATGACTGCCAGACAGGAGGCTGTTCAAACAATACTCTAGGTAGAGTAGACTTTTCGGTATCGCTAGTTTCGTGTTCCAGTATTTATAGGCGGCTATTAGAATACACTGAATTCTTTCCTTATGATAAAGATGAAAGCGTGCGATGTTTACTTGTCGTATTGATACGAAAATTATATCTAAGTTGACTTAGCCTCCCGGCCGCGAACTTTAGAAGGTTGTAAATCCGGCAATAAAGCTTATCTGATGTTTACCGAGACCGAAGGTCCATAAGATGTGGTATTAAAGTGCGGCCACGGAAATTTTCATCTGATTATATTGAATAAGATGATGTCCTTCGAATCGGCGAGTTGTGTACGTCGATCAGTTGTTCCTGAAGTTTAGTTACAGCCTGGGCAATGGTTCCTAGCAAGACATCGTGGATAAGCTTCGCATCACTCAGGGTCTTACATTGTCATCCTTCACAATCTCCTCCTCTAGTTCCTCTCGGTGACAATGCTGCGACACAAGCTGGCTTCCATAAGCTATAATTAAAATGATCTGCTCAGGACTTTACATCGCCTTGTGCCATGGGCGATCGGCATGTGGGGTGACACAGGCTGCGAGATTCTGCCGTGCAAGTCTAATCAACATCTCAAAGCATACATCCTTCTGCTACCTACTCCGCGCGGGGATCGCCGTTCATCACCCAAACCTACCGAATTCAGCCTTGGCAAGCTTCGAGCATGTTTGTCTGGCTTGTCTCACCCGTACAAGGCTGTCTGACAGTAATACCTACCTACCAAACAAGGGACTTTGGTGCGTGTGGTCAGATCCTGGGGCGTCCCCAGATTCACCCCCGGTCTTACAAGGCGTCTTTGCGGAGGGTGCGCCACATACGTTTACTCAAAGTCCCAACGTGGTAGCAATCGTCATCCCACTCCCACCATCCCTCGCAGAATGTGATGGGATCGACACATGATTGGCCGAAGAGAGCTTCCCAAACATTTTTGCTCAATTGACATCACGGTACTTTGTCGCAGACCAAGCTTCTCTAAGCTTTTCCCGTGGTAGGAGGAGGAGAATCCTCTTCTCGAGTGCCACGCGACCAACGAGAGCAAGGTGAACCACCCCCTCAATGGCCAGACAGACAGGCCATTGCAGCTTTTTACAGCGTAAGCTGCATGAAATAGCCTGTCACGCCTGTTGTGACCCCGCATAGAATCGAAGGGAGTTCTAGTAGCGTTAGGCCAATTCGGGGCGCTCGCATCTCACTTCCCGCAGATTAGAGGCGTCGCCGGTTCACCTGGTGGCCTTGTTGACCAGCCTTTGTTTCAATGATTCTGCTTCACTGGTCTGCCTCGGTGGCCCGGATGCAATGTGAGATGTTGCAATGATGTACAACTCATACGACCATGCCCGTCCATCACCCTCCCTTCCAAAAGTATGCCTCCTTGCTCATCCCCAGCCCAACCAACACCCCGGCTACGTGCTCACCCGCTACTTACAAGTACATGTTGTTGATGAGACAGGGTGATTCAGATGACAGGGACGGCCCCTCAGACGTTGTTCGGGTAATTCTGGATATTTAATCTGAACCCCCCTCCCTTCGGACGGCCTGAAGCTATCTAGCGGCACGGTGCAACTGCGTCACTCACAGCAGCCACTTTCTCAAGCGCACAGCTTCATTGCAGCCTTGTACAGAAGTTTTTCATCGTGAACCATATTCATCATGTCGGAACCAGAGAAGAGGATCGAGACGGACTCACCGTACGTAACACACGATCCAAACCATCCACACCCTTCATTGCAGCGGGAAGTTCCTCCGGAACGCAACTTACACAACCCCCTCCCCACAGGATCCACAAAGACGGCGTCGAACACCACGACGAACGCAAAAAGTCAATCGCAGCACTCACCCAGAACCTCGAGGGCGAGATCAAGAATCCCCTCAAGGGCGTCCCTAAAGCACAGCTCCTCGAGCAGGTGACAACCTACCAGCAAGGTCACGGCCTACCCGAAGACATTCTACCGCTCTTGAAGAAGGGCGCCCTCGTAGCGCAGAACCCGGCGCTCTTCGAGTCCATCGAGGAGCTCAACGAAGCCGAGAGGGAAGCGCTGCGCCAGGAGGTGACGCATCGGTGGAAGCACCCCTGGGCTCTGTACTACACTATCATTCTCAATTCTATTGCGGCGGCTATTCAGGGATGGGATCAGGTAAGCGGACGCTTCATGTTCCTTCGGGAATCCTCCCCCCTCATCATGTCCCTCGTCTTCCCCTCTTATTATCCACCTCTTCCCGCTCGGCTTCCCCGCAGATTCCGCATGATCTCCCGGGAGCTTAGTCTTGCTAACGGTGCTGCACCAGACTGGGTCCAATGGCGCCAATTTGTCGTTTCCCACTGCGCTCGGCATCCCTGACACGGCGGGTTCGGCCTGCGGGCCAGTCGCCAACGAGGGCGATTGCGCGAAGAATAGTTGGATTATCGGCCTCGTGAATTCTATGCCCTACATCACGATTTGTCTATTGTGAGTAGCTTACTTTTAGTACCCTCGTTGGGCCACTCGTTTAAGGGAGACATACTGATTGATGGCGAATAGCGCTGGCTGGATTTCGGATCCTCTCAATGACCTCCTCGGTCGTCGCGGTGTAATCTTTATCGCGGCCATCTTTTCTCTCCTCGCGCCTTTTGGGATGGCTTTATCTCAGACTTGGGGCCAGCTCTTGGCGTGCAGGTAAGGAAGACGCCCCAACACAGCCCAAACCGTGACATCGTGATACTGACAGCACATTGTCCAGAATGTTGCTTGGCATCGGCATGGGCTTGAAAGAAGTTACAGTTCCCGTCTTCTCCGCCGAGAACTCCCCCACTCTTATCCGTGGCGGCTTGGTAATGTCTTGGCAGGTCTGGACTGCGTTCGGTGAGCCTCTCACTTCCTCCCAAGAAACACCAAGAGATCTGCCAGAGACAAGATTTCTTGGTGTTTTCTTGGCGTACCACCGTCCCAGAAACGCTAATTCTCGCAAGGTATCTTCCTTGGCACATGCGCCAACCTCATCGTTGGTAAGACGGGTGAGATTGCTTGGCGCCTCCAATTTGGATCTGCCTTCATCCCAGCCGTTCCGCTCGTCATCGGAACGTACTTCTGTCCTGAGTCTCCCCGATGGTACCTAAAGAAGGGAAGACATCTCAAGGCGTGGGGTTCTCTCAAGCGCTTGCGCAATACGGAGCTTCAGGCTGCAAGGGATCTGTACTACATCCATTCGCTCTTGGAGTATGAAGAGACTATGGTCAAGGAGGCCGGACTCAAGGTCACGAGCAACATGTTTACACGCTTCGTTGAGCTGTTTACGATTGCTCGGATTAGACGGGCGACATGGGCTTCTGGTATTGTCATGATTGCGCAGCAGATGTGTGGAAGTAAGTGTCGTCCAAAAAAAGCCTTTTTTCACAAGGCGTATTGACTAACACGCTGTTTCAGTCAACATCATCTCGTTTTACAGCGCGACCATCTTCAAGCAGAGCGGTATCAGCGACTACACCGCTCTCTGGGCCAGTTTTGGATTCGGCTTGATCAACTTCACCTTTGCCTGGCCTGCTGTATGGACGATTGATACGTTTGGTCGAAGAACTCTCCTGCTGTTCACATTCCCGAACATGTTTTGGACTCTACTCAGTACGTCATGTCTTTGTACTAACGAACCGTTGGAAGGGAGTGCTAACATGGTATCACAGCCGCTGGACTCTGCTACCTCATCAATGACAGCACCGCCAGAATCGCCGCAGTAGCAACATTCGTCTACCTCTTCGCCGCCTTCTACTCCCCAGGTATGTGACCCCAAGTCTCACCATCACCAGACTTCTTTGACTGACAATCCCTCCCAGGCGAGGGTCCCGTCCCCTTCATGTACTCCGCCGAAGTCTTCCCCCTCTCCCACCGCGAAATCGGCATGTCCTGGGCCGTGGCGACCAACAACTTTTGGGCGTCCGTGCTCTCCCTCACTTTGCCGCGCATGCTCATCGCCATGACGTCCACCGGCGTGTTCTGCTTCTACGCGGGCCTCAACCTCGTCGCTCTCGGGCTCATTTTCCTGTTCGTTCCCGAGACGAAGCAAAAGTCACTCGAGGAGCTTGATTACGTCTTTAGCGTGCCGGAGCGGACGCATGCTTCGTACCAGGTCAAGACTGTGTTGCCTTGGTGGATCAAGAGGTGGGTTTTCCAGAAGAAGGGGGCGAGGTGTCCCGATTTGTATCATGATGAGAATTCG